GGCCAAAGGTAAAAATCATTTTCAAATAAGTTTAACTAATATATCGCGTTTTAAACCGTTAAAGTGTTTTATTTAAATGTGTACTACTGGCGTAAACTATAGACAGTACATGATTGTTTTAAACAAGCTAAAGGGATGACCTTAAAATATGATATTAAATTTCAGTCTTATTTAATCTGTTCATTTTTAAATAAATTTTATAAATTTAATATGAATAAAATAATGTTGATGATCTCTAGAGAAATAATTGCGATTTCTATAATATTGTTTGTCGTTCTAATTTCTTTGTCGTCAATTTAATCTACTCGTATCAATTAACAATATTCATTTAGTACAATAAAATTGAACTTTAGTTTTAATACTTATTCTTATGACAAAAGTAATAAATCTTCACGGGCGTGTGAACGGATGTGAATACAAAACGCGTTCTTATTTTGACAATTATTTGAACGCAGCCCGAGACAATACTCTTCATAAGATAATATTGAGTAACTGACATTTAGTTCACATAATAATTAGAGTTTAGGCGTTTTCAAGTCTTTCTCAACTTTCTTGCTTTTACGACATTTTTGTGTTTTTATTGTCGCTAATAAGGGAAAGTAATGTTTTCAAATTACATAAGCACGTGTGGCTTAAAGTATTTTAACCTCTTAATGAGAATCGTGGGCTGCTATCAAACTGTAACAGATGTGAATCTGTGTACCTATTATTAATTTTTTTTTGTTTAAAATGTTTAATATTTTAGCGATGTTATTGGTATTGATGAAAATTTGATTTCATAGTATTCATCATAAACAAGAGTTTAAAGAATGATTTGATTAAATAGATTAGAATAATAGTATATATCAAATTTTTACCATTATGAAACAAGGCAAAATTTACAAATGTCTGTCCCCGCCACATCTCAAATCGTTGGTGTCTCCTGTTATACCTGTAATAATATGCAGAAACCATCTCACAATCACATCTTTGTTGAACTAAACAATGCTTTTGCTTATTTGGTACGTTAACCGTCGCGCCCTAGAGTAGTCACTTTTAGGGCTATCTTTTAGGGTGTGGCTCCAGTTTGGAAAGTGACGGGTCATTGCACAGGTAACTCCTTGAGTGAAATTGGAGGTTTGTATTTTGTTTTTTTTTTGTGTTGTGCCAGTTACGAATCGATAACCAGTTTTCCCGTAGAATCATATGAGGCACATTTCACATAATTCTGCTAAGCCGTTTAGTAGCACAGGGATTTACGCTGCTAAACCGCTTATAACACATTACCGTCACTTATCCCGATTATCTTTATGCGATCACCAATAACGCAAAGCATAGTGTGACAAAATGTCGCCGACATAGTTTGTATAGTCACGTATAGACGTGTACACTAATGAGGACAACAGGTGTGGCCGCACACGTTGAGGGTTCCGGACGTCCGGTTGCACCCTTGTGCTGTGGTAGGGTGGGATTTTTAGCGGGAACGATAGATTAGTTGCAAATCGTAGCAAAATATGCTACGATTTGCAACTAATCTTGTATTAGAGCTGTGATGATAGAGTTTTATGTGCACCCGACTTACTATCATGAGGTCTGGTGGAGGTTCTCCTAATTATGTTGTTTTACATTATTTTCCTAAGAAGGGTCGCCTGCAAGAGATCGCTTAATAGCGATAAGGCCGCCCGTTACACTCCATACTTTATAGATATTATTATTATTTTTAGTTCATTTTAATTGTGTGCGTGTGTTGTGTAAAAAGTATAAATAAATATTAATCTTTGTGTATTTATAGTATTAAGTCTATTCCCCAATGGAAGAAACAACGTGCGAGAAGCGTCATATGTTAAGAATGGAAAAATCACCAACATGTGACCTCTAGAAGGAAGGATTTTTCCGGATGATTGATAAACCTATATGCTGATTGAAGAGCGAGTCCCATCTGTGGGAACTATTAAAAGACTAATGATAAATCTGTAAGATTTAAATACTGCTTTAATATTCAATTGACATGTAGTTTTATTAGTAAATATTAAATATAACATTGTGATGAATCTACGATTCATAACTAGAACAACATATTGCTTAGTCTACGGTTCTTGTTTATTGTTGTTTTCATTATGGACGTAAAATAATTAGTACCTCAATAGATTAAAAAAAAACCAGTGATAATTATAATAATCTCACGTATGTTACTTTTTGTAGAAATAAATTTACGCTTCATAAATTAATAAATTTGCAAATCGCTTATACTCACACCACCTAATTAGAGATTGATTGGTATTAGTAAGTGCATGGTAGATAGAATTTATAACATCGATGGAGAGATTAAGCACATCTTTTTTTCTTTCAGCCTGTTTCGTGCTGGTGTAATACATACCGTTTGAGTAGTTTGTATTTCCTTTATTCTAATATACTCAAAATTTCAGTCTTTAAATAAAAATGTTCAGTATGTAATGGATGTGCTATTCAATATGTCATGAAGAGTTTACCTCAAAGCAATCGTATTCAGAATGTTATTGGAATGAAAGTCATCCAAGTGATCACTGGCGAGTATCCCCCAACGGCAGCCTAACAAAAGTTTTCTACATCTTTCATAATCTAATATCTACCTACTCATCTCATTCTTATATGTAAAGGTAATTCCTTAATTATGTGTAGATTTAAAAATTGAAAATAAATTGAATTTTTTTTCGACTCGGGCAGGACTTGAACCGGCATCTTCAGCGTTCCGATCTGTTGCTCTACCAATTAAGCTACCGAGTCTTACGCCTGATCGTCGAATTTTTTCAACTTACATGCACCTCTCGCGCAATGTGTCGCGTTATATTTTTTAAAAGAAAATAATTTATCCTAATATTATAAAGCTGAAGAGTGTATTTGTTTATTTGGTCAGTAGAACTATATGCGTACACTGCGGAAGTGGTTTAAGATACCCAAAAAATATGTATCCAAGAATGGTTCCTCTTTAAAATATCTAAAAAAAATTATAACCGAGGAGGTTTGACAAATGTGAAGTCGCGGGCACGGCTAATATCTATGTACCTGAAATGCATTATTTACGTTTAAGAAAATATAGCGCAAATCTACCTGTAACTCCTCGGTTCACTTAATCACATTTATTTGAAAAAAAAAATAAAGCGTAGAAATAAACTTAGAGTATTTAGGCTTGCAAAAGAGACCCCTTTGACTTGCCTGGAAGAAAATTATAAAAGCAAAAACTTATTAAAGTAAGGTAAACATACTTACGTGAACTCTTACGAAGCTCATTAAAACTGTGTTCTAGTGACATATTTCTTGTTGAAAGCATTTCTAAAACGCTTTCAGCCTGGAAGGTCAAGAGACTTGTGTTGTTGAGATTTCACGCTTGCCATTTTCTGTAAAATTTTAATAGAAAAGACAACATAAAAGCTTTTCTATGTATTATTTGTTACCTAAATGCCCTTAACCCCATCAATGCTAACAGAATTCAATTGCTAAAAAGGAAAATTTACGAAAGTCCTTTAAAACGTGACCATATATGAAGCTCAAATTCTTGTAAAATTTCAATACATAAAATATTGTTAGACATAATTGTAGTTGTAGGCAATTAGGCGGTGAACTTTGTTTAAAAAATTATTATGTACCAATGTATTATGACGTGTTAAACGAAATAAGTACCTAGTTGCAAAATATTGCGTACGCGCTTCATATTACTAGGGATAGTATTTGTTGCATAACTGAACTGGGTAAAATGGTTAAAGGATCATCGGATTCCCAATAGAAAATAACAACTGTCTATAATAATATAGTATACAAATAATAATAATATAGTAATGTAAAAAATAACAAAATTTCCACTCCTTGTTTAGGATAATGAATTATCAATATTTTCAATGAAGACATGCATAGGTATGTTGATAAAAATATTTGTTAGTTAGACTATATCTGCAACGTCATTTAGATATAAACAAATATTATTACGCAAATTGATTTAAGCGAACTTTAAATAACTAACGATTCGCCTTATGCATAATGAACAAATTATGCTTCAGCTGAAAGTAAACTTTCGAATTTTCCCACACATAAACGTAATATGGGACTGCATTGCAGCGGTGCGCAATGCGACGTTTAATCCGGCTGCAAGCTGGAGCGACTGATGAATTGCCTCAGATCTTAATCAAGCTCGCATGGATAACGTCTGAGGCTTCGCATGTTTCCATGTTCAACTATTTGTATAGCTCTAGGCTTTTAAATTTTGATGCATTGTATTGGAAAATATTTGACAAGAATAGTTGATCATCGCGGTTTATGTTATGTATGTTTTCTATCAGTATTTATTGCACAATCGGTTCAGATGTATACACCTATTGTTTTTTCATACACATTTAGAATGTACTGCGTAGTTGCATTTTATTTACAGCAAATGGATTATTATTTTAACGATCCGTAGATCAAGTAAACACAAGCCCACACCACCCGCGCCATAATTAACACCGTCTTACAAGGAAATCTAGTAATTATTTGTGATCTAGCATTAGTATTACAATTTATTGGCATTGGCAAGCTATAAATAATAATGAAACTATACCTTTCAAATAACACAACGCCATTTCCCTTTATAATAACAAAACGAAATTCACCATAGCGATTCGGACATCTATTTCGTTATATTGTAACTTATTAAGCAAGTCGTAAGTAATCGTCATAAATGATCGATGGTCATAATTTCATAATGTATACATTTTTGGTATGTGAGTTCCCGCCAAGATTCATTTGTTTTAAATATTGAGGTAAAATGTACTACAGACTAACTAGAGTTTTAAATATTCTATGGAATAAAATAATATTCTTTCACCCACAATCTGTATTTGTTTGAATAGTGACTTTAGAAACTTGACAGCATAATTTGACAGCCAGTTGTTTTCAAGAATTAGTAGATGTAATATCTAAAAAAGTAAAAATACCGCGTTTAAAACGCGTTGCAAGTAATGGGAATTTTCCCTTAATTAACCTTTACATTTATCTCAATTAGTATCTGAATCATGTTTGCTAAGCCATATAAGCTAAAATCTACAAATACATTAAAGAATTCTGAGAAGTAAGTTCATCCGCTGTTTTAGTGTCTGATCAGAATTTCTTTATATACATGTTATTCTATGAAGTATACATTATTTACAGAAAACACTTATTACAGCGGATAGAAGGTGGTTTTCCTTCGATTAGTGAGCAGAAAATTAAGGAACTAGTGCCTATAAAGTCAACATGCAATTGCATGAAATTAGTCTTACATTCAGGCGATACAGTGGGTGTCTATGTAGTAGATGGGGTCCCCATGATTATAGATAGTGGAGAAACATTAATTCCTACAGTTTGTGCGATGTGGAAAGTTCCCGACCTACTACCAACTATTATAATACATTCTCCTGTTTTAAGCAAGGTTAGAAGTGTTACCACATAAAGTATAATACGAAAAAAAGAAAATACTGTTTAAATATATAATTTCAGATTCAAAGTGGTGTGCCCTTATATGCTCCTGGAGTAGTAATTGATCCCTCCAACTTTCCAAGATTTAATAGGGGATCCTTATTAGCAGTAAGCACAAGTGACAATGCTTCAGCAGCCATTATTGGCCGAGCAACTATGTCTTCTGGAAATTTACTTGTTGCAAGCATGTTAGTATAAGTAATATTTATTTTGTATTCTCATATAGATATGACGTGAAGTGTATTTTAAAAGTACTCATTGTCTATTTACTTCTACTTTTTTTATTGTTGTTGTTGTTGTTCATTATAGTTATAAAAGTTTAATAAATATAATTTTAATTTTGCATTGCAGGGGCACATGCTTAGAAGTGCTACATGTGTTTGGTGATTTATTATGTAAAGAAGTAAAGTTCAATAAAATTGAGAGACCAAAATTACAACATACAAATGTTAATTTAGTTGATGATATTGCAAATGATGTTCAAAAGGTGATAATCTAAATCAGTAAGTGCCACTAGTAAGATAAATTAAAGTACACTACAAATACTTCAATTACTCATACAGCTTCATATTCAACAAGAGAAAGACGAATGGCCAAGTTTAGTGCCTGAATCCAATACTGTGCCAAATATTCCATGTATTATTCCTGACAATGAAATATGTTTAGAGAAGAACAAACAAATAGTAGAAGCGACTCAGCAATTAGATGAAACTGTAACAACAGGTAAGTGTTAAAAACTTATTAAAAAGAAATACTTTTGGGTATGCCTATTGTTGCATCAATTCACACAGTAAATACTATGAAAACAATTCTAATATCTTTACTATTTGTGGATTCTTGTATTTAATTTTTAGCCTTCTCAAACACAATGTCTTACTAGACTTACTTACTAGCATAAATATTGTTACTTTTCAGAATGTTCTGACACAGAAGATGAAAAGATACCAATTGACATGGATGGCTTATTAAGATGGTGCCTTCTCTCATTCCTAAAGATTCATGGGAATCACTTGGAAATGCCATTAAAGACAAATCTCTTATATAAGTTAGTTTAATTATTAATTGAACTCATACCAATTAAATAACCTCTATAAAACAAAGAATTATAATCTTTTAAATTTATAAACAAAAACTAACATTTAACTCTGTGTATAAGATTTTGTTTTGATTATATTTGACAGTCAAAGCTGCGAAATTATTTTATAAACAAGTTATTTGATTTTCAGAAACTACTTAATGCCACTTTGTCCACCAAACAGAACACTAGAGGTGAAGAAGTCATCATTTAAGAAAATGGGAAAGTTTTTGGAAGCAATGCAAAGGGTAAGCTATTCTGAACTAGGTAAAACTATTTAATATAACAACGGTAAACAACCTACCAATATTTTGATGATTAATAATAAAATGTCCTATATAAGAAATATCTATATTTCTTATAAATATTAGTCGAAAACTAACATGTGACTGAAGTTGGAAGCTATCGAGAATTATTAAATACTTTACTGACTGTAATTTGCAGGAAGGATTAATAGAAGTCAAAGAGATAGAAAAGGGTGTGGACGCACTAGTGAGCGTACAACTAGCCCATCCTGCGGTTCGCGGTCACAAAGTAACAAGTGAAGTTCAAGACCGCACAAAAAAACAAGAAGACGCGAATGAAACAGACTATGTTCCACCAGTAGTTCGGGAATTGTACTGCATTACGGCTAATGTTCTTGATTTGTTTGTACCTCTTAAGTAAGTATATACATACTAGGTATACAGACTGACTATCTGCGATCAGCCAGTGGGGAATGGAATGCCTTTTCATAAAAGCAGTAGTTAAGTATTGAAAAAGGCCCTAGTTTCCCAAGGAGAGAAAATAATTTTCTTTGTATTCAGTGTTTTGAAATCTTATTATCATTAAATACATTTCTATAAAATACTTTTATAATTCTTAATGAAATAAAGAAGGCTTCGTGGTATAATATAATAACTAATATTCAGAAAAGGGACAGCCCTATCAGCGAACGACATCCGCAAGACGGCTCGTGAATACGTCAAAAGCAAACAACTGGACGCAGGCCGTGGATCAGTCAAACTTGATGCGACTTTAGCTAAAGCTACTGGAAAAAATGAACAGGTACCTTTACTTTACACATTCGCCTGGGTTTAATGCTATTTCTATTGAAGTCAAGAAAGTAATAATTTAACACTTTTTAGGACTTAATTAAATGGGATGAGTTAATGAATGGACTGCTATCCCGCATGACAGCGAGTACCGAACTTCAATTTGCTGATGGAACTTCTCGGCTGGTGAAGACGCGCCTTGAGCCCATACTAATGCAAGTTTTCACTAGAAGTGGTAATAAAAAGGTAATTAAAAAATATGTACATATATTGAATTGAATGAATGAAACCTTTGAATAAATTAGAGCTTTACTAAGATCACTTTACTCGTAAAAAAATTACACTGTTTTAATCTCACAGAATCGTAGCTACGATAACCTAATTAAATAAAAACACAGAAAGCTTATTGTAGAAGAAACCTCTTTTGCTCCAAACAAGATGATTACTCGGAATGATTTCTAATAGGTGACGCTTGTGTCGAACCTAGAAGCTTTCGGCTTCGTCCTGCCTCCGCTTGCGCAAGAGTGCCAACGAGCAGTCGCTGCGTCTTGCGGGGTTACACGGTCGGCTGGTGCTAGTCATGACCAGCTAATGTTACAGGGAGATCAGGTAAAAGTTCTATGAAGATGATCGTAAAAACTAATCAAAACATTAATAGATTGAAATATAAACCTTATAAAATTCATATATCAATAATCATCATGTTTCTATATCAATAATCATTACGTTCAGTATTTTGTGAAATAATACTATGTATATGATATCACTAACTTTTATGTTAAGCACTAATTAACACTTTATATTTATAGAAAAATGTCTGTGTAATTTATTCCTGTATTTAATTGTAAGACAAACAAATTGCTCTTTTCAGACCCATTTTATTGCAAAACTGCTGATAGAGAAATATGGACTCCCAAAGAAGTACCTAGACGGGGCAGACAAAGCCCTTAATAAGAAAAAATAATTGTGTTATGACTTGGTAATGTAATTTGAAAATGAAATAAATAATGATTTTATTTTAAATTTATTTTAATATTTCCCAAATGTCACACAATTTGTATTTTTTTAATTTAATATAATTATGGCAACTTTAAGCAATTTTAACTTAAGCATTAAAATGAGAATCAATGTTTCTTAAATAACCTAATAAAACATTTAAGTGGAAGACAATTTCTTAAACTAATTTATGTGAATACACAATTATTACATTTTACATGAAATAAAATCTCAAACTTTTATCTGTTCTAAAACTAAAATACTTACACAATTAATTAATAAAATATACTTCAAAATATTTGATTTTACAAACAATTAATTTTTATATATTTAAATTCTCTAATATTTTTATATAATAAAGATTATGGTGGGTTGTGTCCGTTAAATTTCCTTATATATAAGTTACAATCTAAACTTAACTAAGGGAAGCAATACAAATTACAATAAAGCTGCCAGTTACCACAACCAAATTAAAATTTCTTGCAGAGACATATGCTAATTTTTTGTTGTAGACATAAATTTAAAAGGTGTTTTGAATGGTAGAAGGGACTTTCTTTTTGCTTTTTTAAGCCCTGGAGTACTTATCTGTTCTGGTTGTCGAATAGACTTAGTTCTTTCAAAAGTGCTCTCTCCCACCTCCACACTCCATTGGCTCTTGTTAGATAATATAGAACATCTAGAAATATTTGAACACTTCGACATGATACTGGTCTTAGAAGGTGTCTTTTTAAGATTACTTCTATTTGTGATATCTGAGAATACCTCACCTATTTTAGCTTGTTTATTGGGAGAGGAATGATTCCAGTCACGGCTGCGTTTTTCACTTTTATCCACATTTAGATACTTAAACTTTGTTATGTCTCTCAAGTCTTGCCTCGGAACTTGGTGTCCCCCTTTATCTATGTTATCCAACTCATAAAAAGTTAAGGTTACACTTTCATCACTGTCTGCAAACGGGTTGCTCGGAGTAAAGTGCACTTTTTTAGTGGATAGGTCAGGAAATAAATTACGGGGCATGTTGTCTCTAGTAATCTTTTTAGCTGTCACTAACATGCTGCTATCTCCATTATCAGCTGAGAGGGAACTATCTAGATCTTCATAGGAGTAGCTCTTTCTTCGACCGCGCGATCTGACAGAACCTGCACGACGCCGCCGACGACGTGGCGGCCAAGGTTTCTTTTCCTCTATATGATTAATTTCAGGTGGTAATGTTATACCATTACTGTTCACTGGTGATTGATTTAAACAAACCAGCTTTGTACTGGGACTGTTTTTTATTTCCTGAGCTATAAGGTTTCTCTCTCTTTCATTGAGTGATTCCTCCCTTTGTCTTAATGCTATCATGCGAGACATCCACTGGTGACTGAGGGTCTCTTGCGACACTTTCTGTGCATCATCAACTATACTGATAGGTTCAGTGTATGGCTTCCTACTTCTGGGCACATAGCCAGGCAGCTCCAGAGCCAAAGCAGCAATTGTTGGAGATAAACATTCATTGTCCGATTTGATTTGAAGTGGTTCTTTAGACAATTGCCTGCGAGATACTACATTGCTGTATATAGGGCTATCTTCTAGTAACTGGGTTCTGGGCATGGGCTTTATGATCTTGTACATATCCACAGCCTTCTCAGAATCACATTTGTTGACTTCAGAAGTAGTAGGATTGAAATCTACGAAGATGTCACTAATATCTGTAGGCACTTTCAAAGTACAAGTGTTAGTTAGAACGGTAGGATGATAAAGGACTATATCGGGACGCAATATTGTGTTTCTATCTTCATTAATAAAGCTTATGACATCTGTAAGGTCATCACTATAGTGTGTAACAAGTTCTTTGTCTTCGTGTGGTGATTTTTCGGATCTATAACACAATATCTGCATTAATCGTCCCACTTGTTGCATTACATCATGGGGATGGGTATTAGGTGGCTCTAAATCAAACAAATTAATTCGTAAATCGCCCTTGGTATTTACAAAAACCGATGAAGGCGTAAGACATTTTTGTAACGTGACGAAGTTAAGCTTTTCCACTTCCTTGCAAGATCGAGCAACTTCCAGGAGTAAATACCATAAAAATTCTTCGGAAAAGTACTTTTCTTCAGCATTACATCGTTCGATAAGATCTTCCAGAGTTTGGCAGGGATTGTATTCTAGAACAAAGTACAGTGTCTTTGTCGGACCGTGGAGAATGGTGTCGTAGTAACGTAGTAAGCTGCCTGATAACACTTTGCTCAAAGAATTCACTTCACCTACTACGTTTTGTATTTGTTCATTGGAATATGCGGAGCAATTGTACGCTTTCCACGCGAATATTTTGTTAGTGACCTTGTGCTTCACTTTGTAGAACGTACCATTGCAGAACACGTCAAGCACTTGATAATCTCTTAGCTTATCGGCCATTTTCAGTTAATTAAAATACTTTATTTAACTTCCCACATTTTGTAACCGAAACAAAGCCCCCCAATTTTTAAAATGAATCAACGGTTAGTACTAGTGATGTGAAACACTTTTTTGCCGATGTCCGAAGTAAATGAAATTCGTACGTACGACCGTTAAGGTTTAAAATTCAATGCAAATGTTGCCAGCGTAAAAATCTCTGTAGATATAATAATCATTAAATAGAAAATTTAATTTGTACAAAAATATAATCCAGTGTTAATAAAACTACTGTTAAAATTTAAAAGGTGACCTACCTTATAAAACATATCCTTTTACAAAACGAAGGTAGAACTGTCAAACATTTTTTATGAAAAAATATCTAATGCTTCAATATGTCGATAGCCAAAATTTCTACCAGTACAATTATTTTTCTACAAGACATTCAAGTAGGTTGAAATGTAAATAAAATAACAAACTGTATGGAATTAGAAATATTTTATTAGTGAGTATAAGCGTGTACGCGGCACATCTGACTAGCGGTTTCCAATTAATATAACATGATTTCTTTTAATATATATTTTATTATAAAACCAATTAGAATACATAACAAACTCGTAAATATTAGTAGTATTCGATCATTTTATTGTATACAAAGTGTTTCTTTTTTATTATGTAATGAGAAAAAAATAGGGCGACTTTAGACATAATACTTTTTTTTAACCTGAAAAAAATATTGATTTTATTTATTTATTTTGAACAAAAAACTCGCTTTTCAGTCACCGAATACAACTAATATAAAAGAGCTTTTTAATGCGCAAATAAGATTAAAGGTATGTCAAAATTTAAAAGTTCCACAAACCATGAGCATCTGGTATTCAAAAAGTATTGTGCGAACGTAAGCCACTACCTACACTATGTCTATACTTTTTAAATACCTATTATAATAATTTATTTACATTTACTTTGTATACAAGAATCATTGACTAGAAACCGTACGGAAACGTTAACAAAAAAATCGATAATAATTTACAGGAACATCACTGCTTATCGACACGGATCGACATTAGGACGTGGAATGGACAATTTCCATCTTTGGTAACGCATTTGAACATTACTTATCACAATTTTATAATTTTATTTTACATTGCATTACTATCTAGCTTCTATTGAAAATATTGGAAAACGCAATAAGACCTTGTAAGACCAGGGATTTGCGACATATACACTCATATATCAAGTATATTTAGCCAAACCAACTGTCTATTTTTCTTTAGACATGCATTATGCTGACCAATGGTATTTCGTTACATAAATTATTACCTTTTCCAATATTGTGATGTGTCATGTTTTATGAGAGAGAATTTTTCATATAAAGATGTATCGACACTAAAAACTACAATAAACTAATATCACTCGCCTCGAACGATCAGTTCCCAGCAATAAATAAAATTCACTATAAACAATAACAGTAAAATGTCATACAAATCAAACCTTTATAAATAATAAATAAAAATTCGGTTAGATACAGGTAATCAGGTCAGGATTTGCAGAGAACAATATATTATGTTGTTGTATTTCTCACTGCAGCTTTAATACACATACAATAGCAGACCCGATACACCAAATTCAAGATTTAAAATAACATTGCTATGTAAATACTGGAAATTAAGTTGAGATCGATATCGCCACACGACGCACTCGTCGTTTTGGAATTGCTGACGATGTAACTATGTTAATACAATTATTCACTATAACAATATAATATTATTTACATTTTAAGACCCCTTTGCGTTCACATAAACACCAATATATTTCTAGGATAATAATTTACCTAAGACATCAAAGTAATAGATTGTAGTTAAATATTAATTCTTTTTGTGCGAATTTTAAATTAGGATCCTTAATTAATTGGCTTAGAGAATCAAGACACAATATCTTTTGAATTCAGTTAACCCATACATTTTTGTCTCTGATATCTTCATAGTGAAGTATGTGAACGCAATTTAACGCTTTCTATAAATCAGGCAGTTTGTGAGCAAAGCGTAAGGGTCTACGCCTGTCACGATAAGTCTCAAGTTCAATTCCAATTTTGGTAATTCATTTTGTTTTATACACTAAGCATAATGTTGAAGGAAATAACTTGACACGCATCGTACAAGAGGCAAATATCGCTACGCCATCGTGATAATGAAGCAAAGCGTTCGTATAAAATAATCGTGTCGTATCACCATCTTTCCCACTACTCGTATACAAAATGGCTGACATTTTGTACCGAGCCGAAAGAAACAACCGTTCCGATAGGAAATATGAAGCCTTAAGTAGATTGTTCAAAACTTTAGCGGTTAAAGTAAATTGTCTAATTACATCAAATCGTAAAACGAGAACAAATTACATTTTTTTTTGATCAGAACTTATATCAAAAGCACCCTGTAACGATTGTCTTACAAACACCGGAACGGTTAATCTGGTAACATTATAACAAGGTAATAGTGTCTAGACGACATGACTTTATAATAGGTATTGCAATGAGATCATATGAAACTTTTCTTTTAATGAGGACATAATTTAAAACATTTTTGAGATGGATTTTCTGCGTACCCAAGAAAGACTGCGTACCAGGGCGTAGCACTATCAATTGATACCTTAATGAAGCCGTCAATGTCTATAGAAATTCTCAACTTTACTCATGCGCGTACGCATAATATATACTTTTCAAAATGATCTCATTAGTACACCTGTGTAGTCCATAGTTTCAATATTGACACTTCTGTACAACTTGTGTACTTGGCTTGGCGCAACTAGCGACTGATAGGTGGTGGATGAAGCCTATCGCACCCCGGCTGTTCCCAGACGATGAAGGGCCGACGGAGGTCTGGGTTTTCCACTTACTCGCCGAGACTCCACAGGGACTTCTTTCTTTATCGCCACCGGTACTTCAACAGACTGCAAAAGATGATAGACGAACAGTTTAATTTCACAGGTAAATAAGGGTTAAAATAGGGTTATAAAAATGAATAGGAACACTAGTAAATTTCAATATAATATATCTAAATTGTAAGTAGTTGAAATTAGGAAGCAATTATTTTAACCATATTATATTTCAATATAATGGCGGGATGCTTAACTCAAAGTAATCTTTGTGTAAATTCATAAAAGGGGCAGCACCATATACTGGAATATTTATCGTGAGACATTTAAACCACTTATGACAGAAAGAGATGATACCCGAGAAAATTCAATCAAAAAATTATAGACTGGATCTCTACTTATATAAAAATGCTACAAATGAGAATAACCAAAATAAGTTTTAGGTAGTAGAAGTATTAATGACAAGGTTACTAATTCCAGTACCTTAGTGAGGGTGGTCTGGGGTCTCTGCGGTGGGTAGTGGCGAACAGTAGACGGCAACGGTAGAGGCCGCAGATCTAGAAGATTCTCAGCGCGTCGACGGGGTGCGTCCACGCCCTCGACAGCTAGACACGCAGGCCGGCGAGCCCCGGGCGTTGAAACTGGGCGGACGGTTAACGGTTCTGCCCCACTAAACATTGGAAAAAATACGAATTACTACGGCACTGCTTGTTATGTTCATAATACAATTAAACGTTAAATTAAATCGTCAAATCAAGGGACGTCTAGCTTCAATATTTGTCAACCCGTAAATCTCGCTATCGTTAAATTATTGAACGAAATATTTATATTTATGACAGAATAGGGATAGAGAAGCACAGGTATTACATAAATTTCATATTTATTCATATAGTCTATGCTAGCACAAGTAAGCCGCGGCAGTTTGTAAGTAAAAGTAATTTAAAAAAAAGATTTCTTAAATAAACGGGTCCTCATATATTGCGAGTAAATTATTTTAATAAGTTATTATAATCATCGGTACCTTGGAGGCAGTTCCCAGGTATCAGCGTCATCATTATATCGGAGCCTCATAACAGTAGGTCTGCCGGCGTCCGGCACGAAGCTGTCGGCCAGCAGCAGACGACGGCGCAGCTCCGCGATGAGAGCAGCCTGGAGTGCTTCCTGCTCACGACGCTCAGAGTCGTGCGCTTCCCGCTGTTCTACCATCTCTTCGCGTAGAGACGCGTATTTAGCGAGGCAGCGCTTTAGCCTGGAATATAATATAACTAGCTGTATCAATTATAACTGTTCGACGTCCGTCGAGTCCCGTTGTTCTTGCATGATAATATTAGATGATAGACATAGTGTCTTGAACATTTTTGATAATTTAAAGAGGAACCATTTTTCATACACATTATTAACCGTTTTCGCAGCGAACGCAACACATTCTTTTTTCACGTTTGCCACGGTCTCTATTCTCCTATTATTTACAGCGCGATCAACATAAATATTTTTTCAATTCGAACCACTAGTTTCTGAGATAAGCGCGTTCAAACAAACAAACAAATTCTTCAGCATTATGTATTAAATTAGATTATTTGTTACACGGCCTTATAAAAATGCATAAATATTGTTACCTCTGCGTTTTATGGTCAACTTCCTGCTGAAGGGTCGTAAACGTATTAGTGACTATAGCCGTCGTTTCCTCTTCTAAGTCTATCTTTTGCTGCATTTCAATTTCCCTCTTTTTCCTTTCAGCTATTTCCATGTGCCTCTGCTGCAGGATCACTTGACTTTCGTTTAAGTTATTGAGGAGATCCTTTCCCCCGCCGCCCTGGACGAGTCTGTCTTCTAGCGCCCTTATTTGATGTTCCAATTCTTCCGTTTTCGTTTTTTCTTGTTCGATGGTGGATTCTGCGAGAATGTGTTCGCTTTCGATACTTGCTGTTTCTTCCTCGGCTGAAAAATACACGTATATAAAAAAAAAAAAAAAAAAAAAAAAAAAAAAAAAAAAAAAAAAAAAAAAAAAAAATCCCCCCCCCCCCCCGGGGGGGCCGCGCCGGGGGGGGGGGGGGAAAAAACCAATTTAAAAAAAAGGATAAATAAAAAAGGGGGTTTTAAACCGTTAAAGGGTTTTTTTTAAAGGGGTACAACTCGCGTAAACTATAGACAGTATTTAATACACGTATATTTAAGAAATAATGTGTGCGTTGCTCATTGTAAGACAAGTTTATTCAACATTACTATATCTATAGTATAAATGAAATGAAATTCATCAGAACTACAGTTAAACTTTTAAAAACATATAGAGAGCTTATCAAGGGGGCATTTAAAAAGTAACAATGGATTTTGGATTTTACATACAAATATTTCTTTTTACTTACAATCCTGTGGTGTGGCTTTAGAGCGTATTTTAGGCGGCTTTTTCCGTTTCTCAATGGCTTTCCGCTGCTCGATGAGAGAGCGAAGTCGCTCAATCTCCGCCTGGTACTCTCGTAGTTTCGCGTCCTTTGGATCTTCATTGCGAACTGGCTTATTCTTGATGGCTGAAAGTTTAATTATGGAAATTTATAATATTGCGGATGAAAAAAATATATCTGGCTGTCTGAATTCAAAATTCATCTTCCAACAAGTGAACCTGTCTTTCTATGTCATAAGAAAAATGTGATGAGGATATTCTAATAACATTAGATTACCTTTGGCCCGATGTGCGTATCGCAATGTGGTGACGGTCTCATCGTAGTTGTAAGACGCCGGACCGATATTGGCGATCATTATAGTCTTGCTGTTACCGCCCAGAGAGTCCTGCAGAATGCGAGTCAGCTTCGAATCTCTGAAAAAATGGGTACGTGGCGATAGAGAGACCCCATATGTCAAATGTTTTGATTGAGAAAATTCGATTATTTCGGACGAGACCGTAGATCAGTGGGTAAACGTGGGGGTGATCGTAGGTTCGAGTCCCACCCATGTCATAATTTTTTAACAAATATAACTTTTTAATAAATACAAATATAAATATAAGTTTGTAGACATTTCTTTTTAATTCACCTGTAAGGAACATGAGGGCTGTTTTCAGCAAGAGCAGAGATGACATTGCCTAAAGATGAGAGCGCTTGGTTGATTCGTGCAGCTTCGCGGAGTCGGTCAGCAGATGCGCCTGTCTTACGTTGCCTCTCACTACCCGCTAAGTCAACCAAATTTAACTTGCCCACCCTGAAATAATATTGGGGACTAGATTAATTCACTTGTTGGTTATGTTTTAAAACTTTAAAACAAACGACACAAATCTCAAAGTACTAATAATGTGGTTACACTTTTCCGTCATCATTTATTTATTTTTTTTAGGCTTATCTGTTAATGGTTTAAAGTATATATAATTTATAACGGTTCATAAGATAAAGGCAATTGACACAGTGATACATAGCAGACTCTTAGAAGGGTCCTGTTCTTGAAAAACCCTAGAATTATATATGTACTAGGTACAAAAGTGCATATAATATAGAAATAATGAATAGTACAAAACAGAACCCACAGAAGTGCAACCTAATGTCTTTCCGCACAAGGCTGCGTGACCTGCGATGCGTTTTCATTAGCGCTTCCTTTGGGGTGCCAACGAGGGCAACTGGTATCATTGAACTGTACTCGTCCTAAGCTTATTGACCGCACAAACAGCGACTAGGTAACAGAATATTATCCTTACGCTAAAGGTTTCATGAAAAGATCAAGCCATGTGCGTAAGAGTTTAACGCAGGTGTTTTTTTACTGATATCAGAAAAAAGACGCACCTCTAAATTCAGGCAGAGGAAGATTGAAAGTTAAATATACTTCGTTGCAGACAAATAAAAACATTTTTTAACTAACGCTTTAACAAATTTATTTATTTATGTTTCAGAACTAAGCACTAGTCTCATTTGAGAAGAGACAGGGTTTTGACGATTGTAAACCCACTACGTTGCTCACGAAGCAGGCTCGGCTGGTGGGCTTTAACAACTATCACCACTAAATTAGTTGTAATAATCTGAACCGACGGATCACCGTCCTCTGCAAGACACGGGTGTTGACACCTACTATTTACAGAACCTCGTACGAAATTCCAAATGCATATTCTAAAATTATTTGAATGCAACATGCAGGTACTTTCGCAAGCGTCCGCCCCCATTAGCCTCCCCGACGAAACTGAATCGAGCCTTTCGCCTGTCATTATTCGAAATTGGAACGTTGGGAAAACCCCCATTCACTAGAAACGGGAATCGCGTATCGATTCAGAGAGACGTCGCACAGTATTTGGAGCGTAACGCATTATTTATAAACAACGTGTTCAACAAACAAATGCGTGTTAACGAGCACAATAGCACGGAAGTTAATCATTTTTGAGCGAAATTTAATTATATTTCGCAGTTTAATTACCTACAAACGCATCGCTCGTTTGTTCTGTATAGTCAGCTAGTTGTAATCATTTAGGTCTTTCCATAGTAAGGCTTGATGGTTTAACGACGATTATTGTCATAGAAACCAATTTTCCAACAACGATAACAACAGTCGAGTCCAGAATAACCACTCCCAATGTTTCTATCTTCGAAGAAAGGTATTACCTTCATCACTACATTATCAACAATGTCCTCATCTCGTCTTCTAATACGTAACTACACTAACCTTCGCTCGCTAAACCCTTTTATTCCATCGTATTAAAATCAATCAAATAAAGCTCTGACTTCCCATTCAATCATCAAACTACCTCGAGACTCCTCGTCAAAGCTCTGTAAAGGACTGCAGTGGCCGGTTCTCGGTATTTTCTCTTACTGAATTAAATGCCATTATGCAACGACATTCAACAGACTTGCGTGGCGCGCATCGACCAACTGAATTGTTTGTGTAATGTACTGGAATTCTCCGTATAATCCAGTTAGTTGTGTTTAGGTCAAAACTGCATCATAAAGCCAGCTTAACTCTGATCTGGTTCAGCGAAAATAGCATCTTACTCATTCATATTTAAGAGTGACTAACTTTTTATATTGTACAAATAAGTAAAAAATAATAATGAGCTCATTCAGGGTTTTTGGGCTGGTAACACACTTACGACTAAACTAAGTGGAGTACCCATATAAACCCAATTTAAAATATTTGTGTGACATGATCTTCTTTATGATAGAAGACTATGGCAACATGCAGTTCACTTTATGGTACGTGAAATATCAAAAGAATATGCTTCTGTGTTCGGAAGTGGATCTTCTTACCGCCCATTGAATATTCAGATTTCCAAACGAATTCCAGAATGTTTCAGAAAAAGTACAACTGTATAGAAATATCTGAGAATGGATTGTTAACTCACGACCCGTTGATTATTAGCCAAACATCAAAGGTCCCGTCAAAGACGTCATAAAGCACTTAGAAAACACTAAAGCTAAAGTAGTTCAGAATTCTGTATTCAAATTATTACGAAAAAGAACTGTCAAGAAAGGGCAGTCAACGAAAGAACATTTTTGTTTTTTAATAATGGGCTCTTTATTAAAAACAACAAGCGTATGCACGTGAGCGTAGTAGTATAATTGTTTAATTATAAATATACAGATATTTAAAAGTATATGCACATAATATTAATATGTACTTAACAATTACTATGAGCTACAATAGTAGTAAGATGCAGAAACATAAAATGTACATAACCTTCCAAATAAAGTAAACGCTCATACGACTTTAAAAATTATAACTTTTAATTTTAATTAGAGAAAAGGTTGCTTGTTTGAAAATAGCACTTTAAGAAGCCCTTGCAATGATACTGACCTACCGCAATTTCGCAACTTCGCGAGCAAACAAAAGAGCCGTCAGAAGTTGTTTTTAAAGATTTTATGTTACACAATGACACGGCTCATTACCGTATGCGATAAAATTATGTATGTAAATATTTTTTCTGGAATACGCATTATCGTAAGTACAGTCGCCTTGAAAAGCCGATTTGTTAAAATTCACACATAAATGGCATTAACTGTTTGAATAAACCCGGAAATGTGTACACTTTTAGGTGTTAAAAATAACAGTTTGCATTGTAAACTTATATAAACGATGCTGTTATGTAAGTTTTTATTTGACTTAAGTAATATAGTATCTTTGCTTGTGTTGTATAAACATAGCATCTACACACAATAATACGACTTATCAGGGCATAGTCAATTATGGGAGATAGTCTTTTAACTTCGAAATATTATCCAAACAAATTTCTGTGTCCACTTCATTGATTGATTTTGAGTACAGGCTAGTTTAGACAGACTATGCCTAACCCGATCGAAACAGTGTATTCTTTTCCCTGTGATTCAACGCTAGGACCTCAAAAGCTTAAAATAATACTAGGCAACGCGTTTAACCATTTGGCGGTTCGCGAAATTATAATATTGGTGCGCTGAAATACTTCGAAGATAGGCATTTTTATAAGATGTGCATAATATAGCACAACGATTCAAACGAAGTAAAAATATGGCTTCACCCTGCTCGACATTTAAGATGAAGGTACATTTTTGTCACAAGCTAGGTACGTGAATAGCGAGAAATACCTAAAACCCTATATGCATAGGTATTCTAGAACAAGGTTGTAGCTGACCATTTGGAGCTAATGATTCATACAAGTAAAGGGTTGTCCACACGTACCAATGATACGGTGTCGATTGCATTGCGGTGTGAACTTTGCCTTACTTTGTTGACTTGTGGTTGAACCTCAATTGACTATAAACGTCACCTACTAAAGACAAAGCTGAAATTTTTGTCTTAGTTATTTAGTATCAAAAACAGATTTCCGGTTGATTTATTTTTGCTTGACAGACTGAATGGTTTCATGTTTTGCGCTTATTGCAATGCAAGACAGTGAGTTTACAACAACAGTATACCCATGCGATACGGTCAAATTGCATCATATTATGACTAATTTATAAACCATTTTATTGGAAAATCAGAGTTCGCTAGAAAATTAATTACCCGATCGTGAATTGAGTAAAAACCTGAAAATCGCTAACCTTCACGCTTCATCGCGCCTCCAACGACTGAAATGACTAAATCGAACGTAGGCGCCACAAAAATGTTTTGATCAACGCCTTCAGTGCAGTCACTGCTATCTTTAATTTTATTATCACACTCCAATAAAATTATTGGCCATAAACGACGAGTTGTGGATTCGTGACGTCATGGACGTCAGACGAAGGTGGGAGTAAGTATTGAACCGTCGACGTCTACCACCCTCGACTATGGGGGACAAGGTCACTTAACGCGCTGGAACTATGGTGTTTTCTAGAAATTATTGAGTGTAAAATATTTATGGGCTTAGAAATAGCTAGTGTTAGGCGCCATTTAGAAGATTCCCTCTTTTTGGTTCCTATTCTATCCTCTTTCCTGTTTTCAGATGTTATGGATGCTGTGTGTCTCAAAAAAAATATAGATTTTACTGCATGCAAACAGAACTATGGTACTTACATTATTTAGCAATCAATAAGGATTCAAGTATTATGTTGTTATTAAAAGCACTTGAATTCATAAATATATAAACATTTGTAACAACAACCACAGTAAAAACAGCTATTTAAAGTATCGAGTTATTTCGTTCAATTTCCGCATTCGGAGAATTTTTAACTCTAATAAACACTACTTAAAGAAGTTTACACCTTTAGTCTACGGTTAGCTACTGTAAACGTGTTTCAGAAACAAAAGACAAACACGTGTTAATCGAGATAGACTCAGCTTCAGATTTGTCATCCCGTATAACGTCATCGTTTGACTCGCTGCGAACATCCCACGCTTCATAAAACATTCGAGGGACATCTAGATTAAGGTCTGGGTTTTGGACCTTGATGCAATTAACTGTTTTTGCAGAATTACGCGCGAATATTTTTGCTACGCTGTATTACTTTTTTGTAAAATAGTAACGCAATGACTTTGTTATGACATAGAAGGTAAAAATCAAACTTTTAAGCTATTTTGACTTTGGATTCAATAACTGAAACCAAAACACAATTTAGCTTCACGGCGTTGCCACCTGTGAACAGTGGTACCCGGCTGGAATATAGATATTCCTACTAACAATTCTAAATCCAGATTTCCAGGCGAAGATGTAGATGCTTCACAAATATTATAAATTGATTAGAAACTTAGAACACATTGAACCCGTGAGAATCGAATCCACGCCCCATTTTCATGTTACGATCCACAACATTGGTTATTATACATTACTAAGAGGCGTTGATTGAGCGTTGACAAGTGTGTTGTGTGTAACGAGGTGGGTGATATTATGTATCAAAAAAACAGAGTTATACTAACTTGACAAAGAGAATTGAAATGAACTATTATCTAGTATTAATAAATAAGTATTACTCTATTAAAACTCATTTATAAATTATCAATATTAATCTTATCTACCTTTATTGAGGATATTCAATTCTACTCTTATCTAAATTCTACTAAAATTACTTTAAAGTTTTTAAAGTAATCATAGTATTAAGTAATTCATTATATGTATTGTGTACATAAGAGTTTTGTTCCAGTTTCGCATAACGAGGCACAAACAAGATTAAGTAAATGACAGAAAGGCATTATTAGCAGTCGTCTTCACATTGCAAAGCCTTGCCCTTGGCACACAGTAGAAATGAGTAATCTGCTAATGCACACTTGACTAATGTCCTGGCGCCCTCCAGTGACGTCTTGTCACTCTTGTCTAGACTCACGTCGTGCGAACTCTTTGGTGTCCACGAATAAAAAGTGGATAATTGTAATATGTACCAAATGAACGATATACCTTTATAACAATTTTTCATTAAATGGCCACTTTCTTATATTCACGTAATATAGAAGTGCCTTCTAAATTTCGTTGTCGGCCTGAAATAGGCAGTAACACCTCGGTACGATACAATACATTCCTATAGACGAAGGAGCTCTTGTAAAATAAACAGGTTTTTCAAAAACAATGGCCTGAAGACTGGATGGCGTGCGTAGTGAAACTTGGATTATTGTATGATTCATTATATCGAACGTACATTTTAAACCAGCAGGATTTCAATAGTAGGTGTCAAATACTTATATTTAAATAATTAGCCGGCGAATGCTTCATTGCTTTGTCATCTTTGTTTTGTCACTAGCAAATGCAGAGAGAACGTCCTCGCTCGCTATAACCGCAAAAAGCGAAATCAACCGCCTCAGTTTTTTCACCATGATGACATTGTAGTTCTGAACGATTTCGTCAAAGTAATCAAACGCAGGACGACTATCGAAACAGTTAAAGTTTCCATGACAGAAATGGAACAGACAAAAATTGGGGTTCAATCGAGGTTACATCGGCCATATATCATCAAAACAAAATTGTGCTGACTATTGACTTCGGTTTCGGAAATCCACAGACTGAAATCTCAACCCGATTGCACTATTTCATCTGAGGACAGTGATTACAATATTCCTATTACCCATTAAATAGCCAAATTTTCGAGTAGTATTTAAAAAATTATAATCATTCATATGAATAAATGTATTCAGATATGCGAATGATAATATTATCAGCATTAAGATTGCTGCTGTTTTCAATATGGGCGCCAGTCAGAACAAGTGGCTCATCTGCGTTATTCATTAGAACGTTGCCCCTGCGTGAGCGCAGGCACGCTTTGTTTGTCGTTTACATTGTTATTTTTTTATATGGAAATATCCCTAAGATAATAATGTATAAGATTATTCTTTAATCAATTTTGCTTTTTTATAATGGTAAACACTATATTCTGCCTTGTTAACGGACCCTAAAATACTATCAATCACGCACCAATGACTGTTCAAGAGTCTAAACACACGGGGGCCGCATCCAGACCACCAGAAACAGAGTAGGTTTCGAGAGTTTCAAAAGAGTGTTTTGACCAAGTTTGAAGGCAGCTTCGAATAGCGTTACTAAATGAATAATTACCGTGGCACCAATTAGCTGCTATTTAAATAAGTAATTGCTGAAACTTTTTGCATTTCGGAACGATTTAGAGCAATTAAGGATAACTTCAGCGGGATGTGTTTCCTCTTATAGAGCAATCATGCAGTTGGGTTCTTATCGCTTCAGCGAGACGAGTGCGGGTGTGGTTTCTTTATCCACATCTATACCTACATTTAGTTTATAATATAGACATTCAAAGAACTGCTACCAACGAAATAAGAAATTATAATATTGTCTTAAATTTCGGCTCATTTTCTCAATTGTAACTCAAAATATAAAGGCATCGATGTAAGAAAGTCACGCCATTCAATCTTCATTTCCTACAAATGGGATTCGAGCTTTATGCCCGGTGTTTTTTATCGTATTTTTATTTTATTTATCTACCATGCTGTTCATGTGCGTGTTGTCAGATGATACAATTTATTAAGTTGTGTTTCTATCGCCATGTTTTGCTACAATACGATATAGAGCACAACATAAAGGTAATAGATCAATCTCCCGATCTTACACAGATGTGCGCCTTCTACCAATTATATACTTAATAGTCCTGTACAATAAGGCTTTAAAGTAATTATATAGTGAGTACCAGGATAGCTATTTTTTAAGGAATACGCGTATGTTAGTCGCTGATACTAACTGCCTCGGCTTGGACCTCCGCAATGCGGAGGAGAGATTGTTGAGCTGGAAAGATGCTCACCCGCATTTGGGGTACCAGGATAGCATAGCAACAAAACAAGTACCTTATTCTGTTAGTAGAACGGTGAGCGGTTTCCACGGTGACCAAGAAAACTGCGTGACTCCTCGACGAATGTTCGTTCATGTCCGTTCTTCCTGATGCTCTGTTCCTGTTGCCAGCTCGCATCAGCCGAACCATTTCAGACGCTGATTTGCAGACTATAGACGTCATCTCCGGTATGTAGAAGCCGTTAAGTTCCTAAAAATCAATAATAAAAACATTATCATCGCCTACATTCCATTTCTATTCGTGGGGTAAGGGGCAGACGTTACACAAGAATTTGTTATTAAAACAAGAGCAACAATGGTTGAACACGAGGATATTTTTTGTTTGTAATCTTCATAGTGCTGTTTATACAAGAGCTAAACAAATATTCATGTGATTGTCATTAAAGTATGTTAAACAGATCTACAAGGCAGGCATGATGTTGATTTTGTACACTAGCATTTACAATTATTATTTGGATTTATCAGAAAATAAATGTAACTGAACTTCGGTCAGAAAGAATCGAGAGAAGATTAGACATACACATGCTATTTTTGTATCATAGTAATATGAATCACATATGAAGGTGTAAATGGTGACAGTATACTAAATAAAAAAATTACCGAATCTTTTATAAAAATCTTGATAATGAGTTACGCTTGACCTATTCTCCTGTATAAGGTTTTAATACGTGTGTATTAGTAATGAGTCACTAACGTATTGCAATTAGCCGTATTCACCGGCGCGTGCGACGAGTATTTTAACGCAATTAATTAATTGCATTTTGTAATACAATATATTAAGCGTAGAATCTATTAGCTAAGCTTACATCTCTTTACTAAAACATTTTTTTTATTAAAGCGAATACTGTTTCGCCGAATAGCTGTGTTAGTAGAAAAATGAAGCATTAAGTAAAATCCAGTTTTCCCCACTTCTGTATCCAATTTCAATGGTAGGTCGGTAGGTAGGATAAATATAGAAACGGTTAAAAAAAAGCTGAATTTTCAAGTACTAAATTAAGTTTATTAAGTAAAAATTAATTAAGCACGTAATCACAATTACGAAAATGAAAAAATAACGTTTATAAATGCATCAAAATATAGCATTGCAACCACTTTATCGAACAAATCAAACAACCACAACAAATTTGACCGCTCCAGTGCGACATTACGATTTCCATCCTGATTTCAATTTTAAAAATCAATAAAGACGATAATTTGAATCAAATGCAAAATTAAAACACACTTTACAAATATACTTTTTTCTTTTAAAAGAAAATCAAAGCTGGATCAAATACGTATTATATCATCAATGAGTTTTCCCGCCCACGCTCGGCGCGCGAGGTTGTTCTTACGTAAAACCACAAAACTGAAGGTCACGTTTACTTTCATCTTCACATTAATTACAAAACTTCAGTAGCTCCACTTTGGATTTGCACGGATTGTTTGTTTATGAAATCATTGTTATTGCCCTACAAACACGCTATTTAAGACAATAAACTTTATTTTAGTTTAAAAATATCGCAAGGAGTCGCAAATCCGCTCATGTTCGATAGCATTCCACTCCTATGGAGGTGGAATATAGGACAAGCTTGCATAGAAAACCATGAATCATTAAAATATAAGTATTTTAAATTTTCAAACGATCAAACGATTAGAAAACGGATGATTATCTTATTTTTTATAATAATTACTTTGAGTTTTGAACCGTTAAACTGTTTAATTTAAATTGAGCTGCAGATATAATAAGATAAAAAGATTGTAACGAGAATAACACCAAGAAGCCCCACCAGTATGTTTGATGTCAAGAGCAGCTAAAGTATTTTTAATTGCAAAGCACTAACAGCCATCCTTCAAGGAAACAGTTTATCATTGCTAATGACCACAAACAAACTGCACGTGAGATAAGACGTGAAATAAACAAAGGTGACACTACATTTGCCTACGTAACTAGATACATAATATTTGTAACGTACTATGTACGTACTTAATTCTTTCCTGTTAAATTAAATAATAATATCCGTTACTTATTACTCGTTACTACTAAATATCCGTTACTTTTAAGGTATGTACAATATCAGTTTGCAAATAGTAACAGCCAAGAGAAATGTTATCAGTGTTATCGATTCCTATCAAACGTTCAGTAGTGAGAGTTGATAAGACGACCCTGAAACTCCTATTAAACGTTGATTAAATTTATCTTATCTCGTTAATCTTACAATAAAATTAAAAATTAAATTATGTACCTTTTATGTATGTAATAAATACACTTGTTATTGTAAATAGACTGTTTTATCAACTTTTGTGTTAAAAAGGCTAACAAACTAAAGCACCATTCACATATACAAAAGGCTGTGAATTTCGACGACAGGGTAGTTGGTTAGTGGCATAATATATCGATACACAGTGTGTCTCGGGTTCGAATTCTTTGTGTTATGGATATTTCCAATCTTTCTTTTTTGGCTTCGTTTAAGACAAATAACAAAGATATTAAAAAATGATGTGATATCAATTGTTTTGCCCGCAAAGCGGACAATAAATTAAATTTTACCTACATAGTAACATTGTACGTCGAAGGTAACAACCGTACTATAATATGTAGAAGTATGCTTTGTTTTGGGTCCAACGAATTACATACTATGTACGATATATATAGGAAAAATATATTCAAAAAAATAAAGTTTCTTTTTACTTACAAAGAAACTTTATTTTTTTAATTACTATTTTATTTTATTAATTTTTGTTGACTAATCGTCTGTAAAATACCTTTTTTTCAATATGTGTACTGAATTTATTATATTGCTGAAAAAATATTGGCAATCCTAGGATGTGTATATTTACATAAATTCTTAAAAAATAAAGCAAACTTTTAGGGACCGCGAGAGTAACAATGTTTTGACTAATCACTAAAATAAGACGCAGTGTCTAATGGTGCATGTGCATCATAAAATTTTGGCATAAGTGCAAAAGTGAGCTGCGAACGTGTCTGAATAGAGACCGGAAGTCGTTATCTTAACTTCGTGACGATTTGCTTAGCTTTGTTTTGTTAGAGTTGTTACCATTTATGTGAGCTGAAGATAACAGTGTTGAACTTAGAATCTAGAGCTTAGTGTATGGTCAACTGTACATGGGTAAATTGAGCAACTATTCTTAGCAATATTTCTTTTAATTTATTAATGCGATTTTACTTTACAATTGTAGATGAGGTCTTTAAAGGGCTAGATACTAGATTCTATAGTAAATATAACACTAGTAAACGGTTTAAAACACAAAAACTTTGTATTAGTTAGCAAATACAGTTCCATTAGGCAGTACCGTAACTATGACTGTTGTAAACTGGAAAGTATAGTTATGCGTTTTAAATGTTAAACGGTTGCCTACAATTGTTTAAAATATGTGTACAACCGTCCTCTATTTAATCTAGCATTGTGGTAATAGGAAATACAAAGTGTTTTTTGTGAAGAAAATCTAAGTTCTCCCTTTTTTTCGGTGTCACTGATGTTAAATACTCGAACTCACCTGCCCTCTGATAGTTAGTTTCTTGCACTCCTTGGACAGTAGATCCCTCACGTCTTCCAAGTACAACTCCACATATGAACAAGAAACGAGATGAGTCACATCCGGACTCGCTGTGTTCTCTATGTGGGCCCAGATGTGTCTGAAGGTGCGCGGTATGATGCCCTCGTCGTCTCCATTTCCCTCCATGGTATGAGTCTTTCCTGTACCCGTTTGGCCGTATGCGAAGACACAGCCGTTGAAGCCATCGAGGACTGACGCGACGAGAGGTCTGACCTGCAAGAGAACCATATTATGTATTATCTGAAGTACAAGTATAACATCAATAAATACCGTGGATGCCGGTTCAAGACCCGCCTGTGTCTTATTGTTTTCTCAATTTAAATAGATTTTCAATTTATACAATGTCTGTCAATGTTTAAAAGAAAAACCATTTCATTTAAATAAAACACTTTAACGGTTTAAAACACGATATATTAGTTAAACTTATTTGAAAATGATTTTTAACTTCGGCCCGACGTTTCTTACGTTAATATATCGCGTTTTAAACCGTTAGGTTATTAAACTATAGACAGTATTTAAAAACTATTTCACTTTAAAAATAAATAACTTTAAGGATAATAAATGGCTGAATCCAAGCCATTTATTATGTGCTGTCCACTCATTATTATCATTAGATCATAGAACCTATCGCATATATCTGGTACTAAATTGGAACTGGTGGCAAATTATACTCTTTTGTTCTTATTTATTGACATTTGTATCCTACACAAATAAATGACTTTTGATTTGTCATTTTATAAAAGGTATATGTATATGTACCTATATATAGTAAAATACTAAGCTACTAAACGGCACTATTTTATAACGACCCTCATTGTATTATCTGATTTCACAACGAACAAAACATGAACAGGCGCATCGTAAAATCACCGATTGTGTAAACTGACGTAATTGCCGTAAGCTTTGTGTGCGCACACGCAGCCTTGAATGACAGACTGCTCTTGGTTTTTTTGGACAGTTTTGCTTATTCATATGTCTTATTTGAGTACCCGTTATCTATATTATAATGTAATGTAATAGGCCAGACTATGGCCTGTATTCAAGATTTTTTGTTTTTTAAGGGGGGGAAAGGAAAGGAAAGGGGTTTCTTTTTGGGGGGGGGAAAAACTCCACTCAAATAAATCTAAGAAAGATGCGCTATTAATCTATTTTGGCTTTAACCTATCGAACATCCAGAAACTGAAACCAAATGCGGCACTGGAAGGAACACGACGGCTTCATTTCATTTGTAAAAGAACAACATACATATTTATGAATAATTCTTATTATATACACAAGCTAAATACATTCAGTACTGATTTCGTGATAATTATTATGAATAATAAATTATCATATTGAAATAATTTGCCCTACTTAGACTAAGGGTTATATTGAGGATCATGTTTTATGCGTACTGTAAAGGTCCTACAAAACAAAAAGCGTCATATTGCTTTTAATATACAAAAAATAATAATAAAATATCGATTTGACCTGTCAAACGAGCAGTATACTCACTACTAAATACGTTATACATAAGAAAATTCTCCGTACACTTTTTTGATGTTGAGCCAAATTGCTATTACAAAATGTGCCAACTATTGTATTTAATTAAATATTCGCTACTGTATTTGAGTTATATTTCAAAATGAATATAACCAAAATCCTCCTGAAGTTTTATAACAGGACAAATACCCATAGTGATGGAATAGCAACTAATCGTCTGTTTGAGTTTTGATGAAAACTATTCTGACTCAGGAGGCGGGCGAGCACGTTTCGCAGAAAAAATATACATTAAATTTGTGTTTGTAGAAACCGTATAGAGTCTATTTCTTAATTCATAGTACTACAAAACCTACGCATAAATATTACTACGAGAAGAATAAATAAAACACAATTAATTAGTAACGCGCGATGGTACTCGAAGGTCGAAACTGAAAACCTCTCGCCCACTTCGATGACTCAATGCTGCAGTTCAGAGAGAAAGACGAATAGAGGGTTCTGCATATAAGGTTGACACCAAAACTTTTATCCAAAAGAATTAGTTATTGCGAAGCTAAAACAATATATTGCGCATGCGTAACTGTAATTACGGTGTTGTCCATTATTATTTTTACTTGTTAACCCTAGGCATTGTATAGAGATATGTCTATAAAAAAATGTGTGTGTTTATCGTCTTCTAAACTGTATTGTGCAAGACTGGCATTTCTTTGGTATCTGGACCCTACCACATCATCGTAAAGTTTATGGGGGAATTACTTTTTAAGTTACATTTTATTCTTTTTTTAGTCAGAGAATACTCAATGGCTATATACGGAACCCTATTGAAGGAAACCTTCACTCGTATCAAGGTCTGTTAGAAGGAAGCGATATTGCAACTTTTGGTGCTATGTAGGAGGCTGTTTACAACTGAATTAACACGAGGTAACTATTTAGGGCTTCGGCTTACATCATACCGATAATTTATTAATAAATATGATGTGCTCGTGAGGCATTTTGGCACATTTACTTTATATGCACCAAATTAATTTGGTGAACTGTAATTGCTATAACAAATACGTAGCTGTTGATAAAACGAGTCTTAAATATTGATCCTCATCGTATCTTCCAATGTTTGTGCTGAAGAAGCTCGTAAGAGCACACGTTTGGGGACAGAAAATTCTTAGGAGTGTGAATTTCCGCGGTTCATTATTCTAAAATTACTCTTTGCGTCATTTGGCTCGTCTAGTCTTATGCTTTGGATTGTCATTATATAAATATAGTTCTATGTGATATGATATTGCATATTATAAGATTTTGCAAGGGGACAGAAAGGTTTTAAGGGTCAAACCGAAAGGTAGATGTAGAAAGGGACAGTGGAAAAAAGGGCGAATTGGTCAGCAGTTTATGTGGACTGATCGACCGGCTTTCGATAGGTGTACCCAATATAAAATAATAATACCCATGTTATAATAATTATCCTCTGCATTGTTAAGATTGGGGTGAATTTCCAATGACTCAATATCAACTCGTAGAGTATATTATATAAACCTTTCAGCTATGTCTAATGTATCTAGAATCCATGTTCTATATTCAGAACATTACTGAATATAGCACATGGATTCTAGATACAAATTCTCAGATTATCTATCAAACGCTGAAGTCGATGCGTGCACAAGTAATTGCACCTTCGTGCAACTGCACTTAGAATGCAAACATTTTCGTCAACTCTCCAAGTTCTTCTGTTGTTGAAAATGTGAAATATTGTTATCTTAACACGACACTCAATAAGAAAAGACTTTACTCTTCGTAGAATTGTAATGATCTACTACACGACATTATGTGTAGTCGTGCTTTACCGAAAATTTTCATGTATGTATCATTTATATACATGTTACCTTGCCAAATTATTTTGTTGAAGGTTAATGTTAAAGGTTTTATGGATATTCATCTATTCAAATTTGTTACCAATACAACGTAAAATGTTTTTATACAATTATAAAAACTTTTTGAAATCATATACATATCTATGAAAAAACAGCCTTTGGTTTTAAAAATAATAATCCGTATGACATATGCAAATTTTCAAGTTTAATTTGTTTTTAAAAAACACTTTATCACGTTTTCCATTAAAACCCCGATAAACATATAACAAACATCCATTTGCCGATAAAGGAAATGAAATATTCATAAGATGCAATTCTCATGCAAGAAACAAGGATTTTTAGGAAGGCTATCAGCAATCATGATTGTACATTTTTTTAGTTTTAAAACTAAATTTACTGCATGATTAACTTTTTGTGGCGTATACGGCAATTCGTTTAAAAACAAATTAGGTACACTTACTTTCGTAAAATATATTATATTTTTTGCGCCGTCTTAAATTAGTAGAAATCTTGTCAATGTTAGATTAATCTATACTAATCTATACTAATATATATAGCGCAAGAGCTTGTTTGTTTGTTTGAACGCGCTAATCTCAGGAACTACGGGTTCGAATTGAAAAAATATTTTTGTGTTGGTTAGAACATATGTTGAGGAAGGCTATTATAGGCTATAAAACATCGTGCTATAACTAATAGAAGCGAAAATACAGCGGGAAATATGAACTAAAGGGGGGAAATTATTCACAATATGGGTTACGCTGGCACTTCTAGTAATTTAATAAAGTAATTTTTTACGCTCTTCTTAGATCTAGCAGGATTTTATAATTTGAAAATCCACAAAAAGCTAAATATAATCTTAAAAAATAGATCACGTGGAATTTAGCAATTTATTTTTTTGTACAGAATTTAAGTATAGAAAATGGCTACCCACTATCCGTGGCGTGGCAACAATGATCTGTCGAGGGTTTGAGACTTGTTACACCAATTGTGACACCAATAAATGTTTGAAATATTATATGATCATTTCGAGATTGATATTTATTTATTTCTTACCATTTCATCGTAAATGGTCTTGGTATCCGATGAGCAGTCGTAAGCGGCATCGTATGTGAAAAGCTTGTCTTGCCCCTTTGGGTTATACACTTGCACGGCGCCTCTCTCTGGCCACACTTTTACCACCTGTAATCAATAAGTTGTTTTAGATAATTGTTAGGTTAAATATCGGCCAAGTGCGAGTTAGTCTCGTGAAGAAACAGTTCCGTCACATTATTTATAAGCCCTGCTAGAGTTAATGTACAATATGATAGTTTTATACCATGGGGTACCTACTCTAAAAAATATTCGTTAATTTTTACATTTGACCGCCGCTTTGATTAGCTGTTAAATGTTAGTATTACTATGTGTACTACACGTTATATATATTTTTATAGCCTAGGATTAAATGACAACATTAGTAATAATTGTCAAGCTTCGACGAGTGTTAAGCCAATAGGCTTGCATCGTGAGGAATCCTGTGTAGTGTGACCTAGCAATTAGGTCGAAGGCGGTACGCCTAAGGGCTTAGAACTATCATGAGCTCAGTATTAACATACATATACAGACGTAGGTGCGCATTCTTTACTATTATTAAAATATTTCATTAATGATAGTCTAAAGATAAATAAAAGATTGTCTGCTTCATCATTATGTTAAGGTAATTAGTGGAATATAATTACTAAATAAGCTAGCTTACAGCAAGCCTAAAGCAATCGACAAACTACGATCAAACAATTTTTACAAAAAGAAATGCAGTTAATAATTGATTTTTTTTAAACTTCGCTTATCAATTCTTGTCGAAACTACAAAAGTATCTTCAGGAAACCGAGGTTACGACAACGTTAGCTTACGCATAAAGAAGATCAGAATGGTGGTGGGTCACATCCCTCAAGCTCCTCATGATCCTCATGATCACGAAACAAGATGAAGAATTATATAATATGTTGCGGTTTTAATTTTTTTATATATATATACTAGTTAAGGAACCATATCGTGTACATGTACTTTGTATTTATTATTAATCCATAAGTGATTATGAGGTGCGAAATGCTTCCTCTGTAAGTGTGACTGCAATGTGTCACACATGAAGCGTGCCTGTACGCTCCATATGCTGCCAATAACCGTGAAATATTAATTTTATTGTGCAATATTCGTAACTTTTTTCACAAGTTCTAAACGTTACTTAACGACCCAGGTCTAGGATAAATAGGGTTGAAAAACTTTAATATTTTTCACATATTATTGCACTTTATAGATTAAAAATCGATTATTAATTGAAAAAAATACGATTCGGGCAGGACTTGAACCGGCATCCACATCCAATCAGCAACAGCACGGCACGCTGTGGTTCATAACCTGCCCGAGTCGTAAATTTTTTCAATTTATAATCGATTTTTGATATATAAAAAGGGGTTCAACATTTACGTCTACCTGGAATCTTTAAACCCCTGCAAGTTGCATTGTAACCTAAATTTTAACCATCAATCCTTTTTTTTACGTTTTTCATTAACCAGTTAAATAATACACTTTTTGAAAAATATAATGATGAATCATTGAAATAAAATTTGATCTTATTAACGATTTTTTCTATATTAATATTCTAGAAGATTACCCAAAATATCAACAAACAACGAATTAATGTTTGTACACAAATATAGAAGAAAATTTTGTTTTGCGTTGCATATTCTATTAATTTTAAATAACAGCATGTGTAAATGCTTGATTTGTGTGTTAGTATACTGATATATCCTAATTATGTTAACAGGTTACTAAAAGCGTTAGCGGCGGCTATGTTAAAATTATGGTTTGGAGCGAGACTACGTTTCAAAACCCTCCACCGAAATTTACGGTAGCTTTACGTGCACATAAACTGTACAATATTGTTTTCATTAGTACTACATGAATATGCCACCTAAGTAATTCAATATTTATGACATCTCTGTCAATCTCAACCGAATTTTAGTCACCAAAACCCCACTTCAAACCTGTAAAAGGCCTTCACTCTTTTTCACTGGGGCGGTTTTTGTTGACAAACGCTCGTACCACGTTTTTTCAACTCGTGTTTTCTTCACCTAAATAATAAATAAAGTGATTACTGTTCCTGTCAATCATAATTAGTGGACCAAAATATTTCGTCTTTCATTTAAACCGTCGGCAGTTAGTGTCTTTATCTCCTCCTCAAGTAATGAAATAGTAAAACACTTAATTTGTAAACTTAAACTTTTAATTTAATTTAACACATTTAAATTAAGCACATTGGTTTAAAACGCAGAATGTATAAGTTGTCATATTTATACTATTTAACTATGGCCCGACGTTTCCTAGTATCAAAGTCAAATCTGCCACTTTAAAATAAGTAAGTTATATAATACATTTTGCGTTTTAAACCGATAAGTGTTATATTTAAATGTGTACTAATGGTGTAAACTACAGACAATACTTCTATATTTTAGATATATGTATATACAGAACCGCAAGGCTTTGTGTTATATAAATAAATTCGGTAAGTACTCTTTTATCAAATGGTCTGCATGTCGCATTATAACGTATTAATGACAGCTAGCACGTTATAGCTTAGCCGAGCTCTTGTTTAATATTTATATTATTACAGTATTTTTACTAGTCTCGGACAGAACTACGGAAACACAACTACATCGAGTACTTTACCAATGTAAAAATAAATTAATCTATCAAAGTATCCAGGTCACGAAAACGTTGAGCGCATCGCCCGCATTTTTTTACTCCTATATTGCTATTTATTGAGCGACAAAAAGATGGTACAATGAAACATCGTGACAAAAGGTCAATGCTCCCTTATGTCAAAGATATTATTTGACAAATGGAATTTCGCTAAGTGTGTAATTTTCGAGAACTAGATTGGGCGAACAATATACCAATATGCATCATAGAAATTCACAGTACTTGAGTTAAAATAGTATTTAAATTTATCAGTATTATAAATATATCTATTTATACTATAGTAGGTATACGAATTAATAGCGAAACCGTAGTACTGAGGCCTACTATGGGCCTATCATTTTTCACGAGGCCGCCTTATAGTAATTATGAATTTAAAGTTTCTTCCTTCAATTGTTTAAATATTAACAATTTTCAAGTCAATACAATCTCCGCACAGCTGCTGCTCTTGACTGCTCTTCGCTGCGAAATCGCGGTCCATACAATCTATGCCTAAATATGGGACATCCGATTATGGACTAAACGCTCACCTACTTACGAACGGGTCAAGAGCCAATCGTAGTGACCGGGACTTAAAAAAAACAAGAGATTCTCGGCTCGGCTCATTTGTGAGCAAACTCATTGAAATGTCGCATCCGATACACAAAATTCCGAGAGAAACATCCGTTTTAGTTGGGTCCAGGTGGAAAAAAATTTACTTTACTTGACAAATTGTGACGATATTCGTATAAGGATATGTTATAGGTAAGCTTTACTCTTATCAACGAAGCAAATAACGAGTGTGGTAGACAATGAAAAGACTACTTTCGTATGTTGGGACGTAGGGCAAAAATATGTAGGTATAATACGAAAAAAGATCAAAATTATAGCGACATGATCATTAGGCGACAATAACACTCTTTCAGCTTTCTTTCAGTTATTTAAGCCTTATATGATTTAATAATAAATTGTCTTTAATGTCTATTGTTACTAAATTAGTAGTGATAACCGGACCGACGTCCTAAAAAGTTGACTAAATTTTCTTGGAAAATTCGAAATCCCGAACTGATATTTCAACTCAGAATTCGAAGCCGGGACTTCGTAATATAATCTAGAGTTACGAGGCAGAAAATACTATTTTATGATACGTTATAATATAGACACGGTAACAAATGCCATAATACGTTGCTTTACCTATATGGTTGTCAAAACATCTCATTTAAATTAGTGATGCTCGTCAAAGTAAACATGGGGAATTGTTTTCCTTATTAAGAAATACATGTTTTACCAGAAATCCAGGGACAGTAATCTACTTAGGAATAGGTAAATTATATAAATATTTACCTCATCGCTAAACATATTATTAATTGATTTTAACATTATTGCTTACATAATTAAAAAAACTTAATGAGTCTAAAGGGAAAAAGATGGCTTAACAAATCTCATTAGGCAAAACACTAAGAAGTTAATTTGATTTAATGTTATTAATTTAAAAAAAAGTTAAAGTTAATGTTATTAATTACTAATACATGAAGAAAACTGTGTGTGAAACAGTATTCTGAAAACACAGTTTTCTCGTTGTAATTAATTAGGTACGTAGTTTTGTACAAAAATTAAAAAGCAACAATTTCCGAAATATAAAAAATATATATTAACGAAAAACAATAAGGCCAAGGCTACTTACTACCTACGTAATTATTTCTTTACTTTAGAAACGAACTCTGCATATACTATTCACTAGTGAGTGCCACATAACAATAAACATTTAAATAATATTAAGGATTAAAGTATTGTTTGAAAAGTGTTGCGATAGCGTTGTATGACTAAAAACGGCCGCAAATTTGCGTCTCGTCTTAGCCCACGTATCTTATGATTTATATCATAATCTAATCATTAAATTATTCGGATACTATACCGCTGTAAATAATCCATTTCTTCGAAACACAAATGCTTAAAAATGTTATGTCGGTACCTAGCTACGCTTAAATAATATTATTTTCTTTATCACGTTCAAAACATATTAGAAACGTGAATATATATCAATTCTTTTATATTTAAATTATGTTAGGTTATTTGAAAAAATATTTTTTGACTGTCCTCAATGGATTTGGAACGACGCACAAAGTTTGCGCATCCCTGGTTCCCCACATCAACAAAACAACCAAATCTTACCTCTTCGTAACTTTCGTTCTTTTCTCTATCGGATAGAGGTCGACATCTCACAACCACTTTAACACACTCATTTAGAGCCGTTCGTGGTCTCGCCGACTTTTCCATTTTCAGCCACCCCTTTAGAGACTATAATAAATATTAAAACTCAATCTTGTTGATATCGATCCATTCGGGTTGCACTAAGTCCAGCATTGCCTATTTTTTACACACTGTATTGCACTAAATCATACCCAATACGACAGATATAATAATTTATATCAACAATAAAATTATAACAAGGATATATTTACAAGTATAACAAAATAAATAAAAATCGTAAAATTCGAATTCCGCTGTTTCACAACGAACCACCACTAACGGACATTTCTGTGGAACTGACATTTTCAATTTTTTTCATTTTGGATTTGTTATCAGTGTTGCCTAACTAAGGGATTTTATTTGCCGTAACAATTGATAAGTCTTGGAGTTCATCTTTTAGACATCATATTTAAGAATTAGAACAAATATTTTATGTGAAACATATAACTGTAGAATAAATAACCTTAATGTCTTGATAGTTTCGGTACCATAAATTACGATGTTACAATATTTTGATAATACCCAATACGAACAATGTCACAACTAAAACCAGTCAATTGTCAACTAGGAAAAATAATAATAATAAACTGTAATGTTTAAAATCCCTAAGATTCATTCCAAATTTATTTTATAATTATTAATATATAAACTTTTGTAATAAAAATATGTCAACAAACCTTTCTATAAATCTAAAAAGAGCTAGCAAAATTTATAATGAAGGAGTAAGTTAATATAACACAACTCTTACATCGACTTTTTGTTTATTTGGAACTTGTATTCATTTATTAAATATTCGGTTGTTTTGGTTTAATAAATAATTTGAAAAAAGTCTATAAATTAGCTACCATAAAAAAATACGCCTACTTTCACCTTTGCCTGCGACTCCCATTTTTACGAAAAAAATTTACCCTAAATAAATTATTTACTCCAGGAAACTATAGCAGGAGTTGTGATCGTTGAAAGTAACAGTGATGTCAGACATGAAGGTCTCACTCTGGCCATGGAAGGGTCTGTAAACTTGCAAATCAATTCAAAGAACACTGGAATTTTTGATGCGTTTTCCAATAGCATTAAAGTATGTATAAATCATATACTTGTGTGTCACAGTGTCTTTAATATTTAGATTTATAGAAATTTTTTGAATTTTAGCCAATAACCTTGGTCAACACATCTATGGAACTAGCTCCAGCAGGAAAAATTCCAGTTGGAGTCACAGAGATACCATTTGAATTGCCACTTAGAGGTAATTTTGTGATATTGTGTTGTGTTATAATTTTGTCTGCTATTAAATGATTGGCAAAATTTGGAGTAGATAGATTGTAAAAAAAATGCTTTTGGGAGAAATTCACTAGAATTAGGATTTTATGATACTCAATTTATTTATTGTTTTATCTCTTAGGTAGACCTAGTTCAGCAGGTTCTGGATTGTTGGAGACATATCATGGAGTTTTTGTCAGTGTTATGTATACTTTGAAATGCTGCATGAAACGTCCATACCTGAACAAACCACTAAATGCTGGATGTCAGTTCTTTGTTCAATATAAACATGTAAATATGTAAACTTTTTTGTATTATAATTTCTGGTAATTTATTTAAATGAAGAGTCATAATTTGTGCGCATATCCTATTATAGCAAGAACCAGCACCATTGAAGCCAGTGCGTTGTGAAATAACACCAGCATCTATTTTTGCGTCAGGAACAGCTACACGAGCTGCAATGCCTAATTTTCAGCTATATGCCGAGATTGACTCTACAGTTTGTGCCCTTGATAAACCTATTACTGGCAAGGTTTGTGTATTATATATATTACTATTATTATTTTCTTGGGGACACCCTTGCAGACGGGTGTCATCCACTTTTACCTTCCCCCCTTTGTTGTACTCTTCCCGTGTCCCCTTCAAACCTTCTGCTTTGCTTGCAGAATCTTTTTATTTTTTCCATCTGTAGTTCTTTAATGTCATCTACTGTAACTTCGTCCGAGCCCATATGCATTTGTCTTAGGCTCGAGTTCGCAGAGGCATTCAGTGAGTAGATGGATGCTTGTTTCCTCACTTTCTCTGACTCGGGATAGGGGATGCTACCTATTCCTATCTTGTAAGATGTCTGTTTAGATGGCAATGTCCTGTTATGATTTCTACGATGAGTCGGATGTTCGCTCTCGTTAGTCTCATCAGGTTTTTTGGTAATGAGTAAATATTTTGTAGAATGCTAAAAAAAATATTGTGTTCTAGATTCGTGTGGATGACTGTTCAGTACCCATAAAGTCAATAGAATTACAACTAGTACGAGTAGAAACTTGCGGATCTAGTGAAGGTTATGCCAGAGATGGTATGTTTAGGGACTGTAGGTCTATGTACCTTAGAAGTGTGTCATGTATTTTTGTAATTTTATCAATTCTTTCAGCCACTGAGATCCAAAACATCCAAGTAGGTGAGGGAGACGTTTGTCGTTCCCGCGATGTCCCCTTATACATGGTTCTTCCTAGACTTTTTACATGCCCTACTACCACAACTACAAACTTTAAAATTGGTAAGCAGTTATCTCTAGTCAGAAGTGTCATATTGCCCACTAGAAATGGCATAGATCAGCTAAACAACTTTTAATTTATTAACTCTTCTTTTATTACAGAATTTGAGCTAAATATTGCTGTTATATTTGAAGACGACTATTTAGTGACAGAAAACTTTCCTATACTATTGTTAAGATGTAGATAATAAAAAAGTGTAAGGGTATTTTTAATATTAATATAATACGTTGGGTACAATTTTATTAAATAAAACTTGTTAGCTATAATTTATACAATTTATTGTTCTACAAAATATAAGGTATACTTTCTTATACTTCAACTCGACTTTAGAGACCTTCCCTGTATGATCGATAAACAGGTGCAAATAAATTTAGTAATGCCTTATGCTGATTCTGTTGAAATTCTTATTCTGTTCCACTTTTGTTAATGGATTAAATTTTATACTTATATAGACTATATTAGTTACTTAAAATGTGGTGATGTGAGGTTCCAATGAATATAACAATATTCATTAAAAACTTCAAACATAAAATTTATTTTCGTTATTGATCTGACTTATTGCCTTATTTTTTTTAAATACAAACCAATGCAATGACTTGTATGTATTCAATGTACATCTTTCAAAATCATGCAGAGATATGGAGCTATGAGAATTTGAATAGTTTAGACATAGAAGAAATAGTTGCTCAATTTTTCAAAGAAAATGATTATAGTTGACAGACTGATAACCACTATTTCTTGGTAAATCGGGTCACAGTTAAAAATTTCTCTTAGATAACACATCTTTCATAAGTAAATTACAACATACTTAAGGTTCATCATCCACCATGTCATAAATTATATTTATCGCCTCTATCTGCTGCAGACCAGCTTGTCTTAAGTCTGATAGCAACGACGCTAGACGAGATGATCTGACCGGAGGTGGTGAATATGGGGGTGTCCGTGGAGGTGTGTATGGAGGTGATGCCGACTGTGAAGGTGAACGGTCCCGTCTTCCAGTGGTCCGTGGAAGAACATAGTTACGACATAGACCGAAGAACTGCTGTGGTCGCATATTGCGTTTGAGGGCGTCAAATCTGTGTAAAAGAGTGAGAATAATATTATGCAAATTTTTACTTAAAACAGGAGAAATCCTGTGGCTGACATGTAAAACACATAGTAGGGATTCAAACTCTAGAAATTTACGCTTTGAATAAAATGACCGCTTATCTTATTAGTTATTACCTACTTATTTGCTTGTAGCTAAAATAGACGGCCTTACCACACGTATAAAAGTACTATAATTTCTTTGGTACAATACAGTATTGATTTTTTACGCTATGGTAACAAAACATGTCAATTTATCTACTCTCTCTCCATCTAACGAATTTACAATCCGATATCGAGACACATGTTTAATCTGTATTACCTTGTTTAACAAAAAACGGCGCCAAGGAAGTTTAAGCACGACTTACTGTCAAGTCAAGTCTCCAACAACCTTTATAGAAGAAAATACAACATTACACTGACCTCCAGCCAACATGGACCAAGCAATACGCGCAGCTTGCAATGCTCCACGCGTATCCTGGGAACCATGAGAAGTCTGCCGAGGGCGACCCGCTTAGATCAATGTTTTGCGCCCGCGATACTGTGACTATATCGTGCATGTAGCCGCCTAAAATATATTACACATATAAACGTTCCACCATCAACCAGCCGCCACACTAATAACAAAACAATTGGTTTAGTAATTATGTACAATTTATTATAAATTTCAGACATATAATTATAAAATGTTCATCTGTGGTCATAGTGTACCTAACACTATAAAAAGTGGGTGAGTGTTAGTCCGTCACAAAAATTGTCTTTAACATCGCTTACTTTCCAAAACAAGCAAAACGATAGTACCTATATACTAGATATATAAGATTACCTATCGATTTGCTACTGAAACATTATGATAAGCTGAAGAAGTTCGTTTTACCTAAATTAGTATAGTTAGAGTGTACACCTTCGCTGGACATCGCGAATACATCTTCCCTCCGCGCGATTTCAGTTGAACAGGATAAGCAGCATAATACACTGTCCTGGATAAACAAAAAAGTTAGACGGACAAGAAAATTTAGTATTAAATACAATACGGAAAATTAAGAAATAGGTCGACTAACCCCCAAAACAAACATTATGAGGAGCTAATCTAAATTAATTAATTATTTATTTAATATAGATAATAATAACTTGGTTTCTTGATTAATGCTTTAATGAAATATTAAGAAATATAAATCTTATAGTTTTCATATTATACTGATCATTTTATTGCTATTAACGCTTAATGCACTTAAGAGCGTACGTTAATAAAAAAAATAGATCAAAGAGAATAAAATACCTACATACAATTGTAAATTAAATAAATAATAATAATATAGACATCACAGACCCTCAATAAGGCATTTATATAAAATGTATTCTATCTGTTATCAGATAAAGGCTTTCCACATACCCTACTGATAAGTCTGACTTCCATGTGCAGACGCAACAGAGCGTCATCCACTATGAAAAGTGCTAGCCGATCTCGGATTGACATGGTAAGGTTTGAAGCGGTCCAGAAAGATAGAGACACAGGATCCTCGGGAATAGGAGCTAAAATAAAAAAAGGTTTAACAAATGTTGAAACCTTTAAATTTTTTTACTAGTAGATAAAAATTTTTAATTCTGATACCAAAAAAAGAAAAATTTTACCTTTAAATCTAATTCTGATACCAAACTTCTTTAAATTATGATCTACGATTTATCACTAAACAAAAAAATTAACTTGTCCAGTAGGCACTGAAAAATAATATCTTTAGTCTTGTAACTATGAAAAGCTTACTTTTGATAATATTGCCAAAATAGTCCTTGATAGTCTGTTTCATGCGATGGTAGTCAAAAATATCATATACAAAGAGCGGCCATGGTGTCAGTTTAGCGTCTATATTACGAAGACGGTTATCCAACCTAGAAGTGGATAAAGCTGAACTAAATTACTTCATTATATTACACTCTAATTAAAAGCACAAACTTTCACATTACAGTACTAAATATATGCAATATCATGTATGAGACATAATTTAATTAAGAAATATTTACAGTTGACTGACTCACTGACTAAATGTCACTTAAAAAAGCAAGTTTACAATCATATCAGTACTTTTTCTGAGCTGAAATTAGACAGTAAAATAAAACATTTTACTGTTAAATAATGAAAAGTAGTAGCTAGCTTAACTATTTAATCAAGCAACTGGGCAATATATCATCAATTTATACTAACATAGTCCGCTCTCTTCGCCAATTATCAAGACTGAGTAGCCTATTCTGGTGTAGGGGATCCCCTAGTTTTACTTCTGGTAGAACTCGAACTTCCACCACTTTCATTCTACAATAAAATAATTAAGTTTGTAAAAGTATTAAAAATAGCAGAATAGAATTAACTTTCAATAAAAATACTGCATTTAAACAAGCATTGAATTTTAAGTGTATAACTGAAATCAAGGAAGACACAATTTGATTTTCCAAGACATTGAAATTCTAAGAAAATTATGCCTACCCACAACAAAATATAAACACACCTACTGTACGCTTCTATGGGTTGTGACTGCTTAGGCATATCCTTGAATCTAAATCGATGATTGGCACGAGCTTTGAATGTTAATGTTTGCGGTGCTCCATTTGCTTCACCAGCTTCGAAGACTTCACAGAGGACACCATAGCCAGAAACATCATTACCACTTTCACTAGAATAGGACATACATTATAATAACTCCTTAATTTTACTTTATCATTAAAATGTCTAATCAATAAAAATACTTACTCAGGACAAAGCAAACCAAATAGCTTATCGTGATCTAATGTCTGAACCAAAACAGCTACATCATTAGCATTAGTGAGAAGCATGGGTACAATTTCTCCAGGAAACACAATCCCGTGGTGTGCCATAACTGGAACTTTGCCAGTCCAACCAGCTTCTAAAACTGATCGCCCACCTACTGCTACAAGACCTGAGCCCATATACTGTAAAATGTAAGAAGATATGTGTTAATATAGTTTTGTGAAATTTGATATGTGAAAGTCTAATTTTTAGGTCTCAAGTGGATGCATTTACTTTTTCCAAGAAAAATCCTTTTCCATTAACAAAATAATGATGTAGATAGTAGGAGCTTACAGAATGTGACGCCGCAAGCGATATATCGAATTGTTCCACGGGTTCGTTCTCTTGAGATACTGCTTCCACGGAAAGATCTCCATCATCTTCAGCAGTTCGCTCTTCCTCTGTTTCACTAACAGCTCCTTTAATTATTACAAATAAGAAAAAAGAGAGTATTAGTTTTATCTCTGATAATTAAATTGAAAAACGGAAACTATCATAAAATATTTTAAGCTTACCTTGTTCTTCCATTATGTTTATAAAATTATGATTATAGAAAAGATTTATTATTCTTAGTTTAAAGAAATATAAATAATTCGCAATTTGTTTGAAAAGGTATTTATAAAACTAATGACAGATGCCATATCAGTAAGTGTCACTGTCATTCATATGTCGGCCAATAGGATGACCTATTATCTATATATTATGGCATTTGTATTATCTATATATTATGGGATGGGTACTATAAAACTTCTTGACTATTCATTTCCAAATTGAAAATATAAATACACTACTTTATGTGAAAGTATTATTTACAGTATACTTTAGTCTTCTTTTGTCATCTTTGCATATTGCAAATATATTTTTGTAGTGACACTTAAAGACTCCTTCAAAAGTTGAAATATTCACAAGCATTGACTTAATGCTATTTGACATTTGAAACTCGAGTAAGGTACCTACCCGTATCTATATCTATTTTCATTGAATATTACTTCGCCTCAGATTTTTCTTCTATGAACGTAAATCTTGTGATTGAAATGAGATAAAACCGTGACTGTGATTTTTATAAACAAATGTTAAGTTGAAATGAAATTGGTCAGTGTTTAAAGAAGATCACAGCTATAAAATGTACCGGAAAATTTTGTGGTGTTACGTATTTTTATTGACATCATTGGATATATGGGAGGTATCGAACTCCAAGCTGACAGCCCAAGGGAAGAGCCATGGTAAAATCGATTTCTCTTAACATATTGAGTATTTGTATAAGCATATATTTATGTCTCTGATGAAACTACATGGCCTAACACGCTATAAATCAGTGGGCCTGCTACTCGAGAATCGAATGCTTTGAATGTGTTTGGTATAATTTTAGTTCGGTTCAGTTGTTTTATTTTTCCACATATTCTGTAGATATTTTTAGCGGTGTGGTGAGATAAATACGTAGTTTTGGCGGTAAATGTGCAACACGACAAATGCAATGTGCAGCGCGCAAGCCGCGCATACCGATTACCGCCCGAGTTGCGTACAAGAGCGACGTTCAATTATTGAATAACTTTTTGTAATGTTATGCCGTCGCTGTTATCACTTCTGTGCCTTATCATTTCAATATTATTGTTTATTGTAAGACAGTTTAAATTCATGAGATACTTATCTAACACCAAATGTTTCTTACTAATTATATTGATTTTCTTATAATTGTCAAATATTCAAATACTGAATGCTTACTGTAGTTAATATCTTTACTTTTGCTCACAGGTGCAGCAGTGCAGGATTCAATTACAGAAGGAATTGCATTTCAAGTGAGTCTTGTTATATTTTCTAACATACCTATTACTTTCATTCAAATCTGACAGGAACAAAAATGTAGGTAGCTTACTTAGTTTGTTTTCCTGTCTACCTTTGTACTGTACATGAGAATGTATTAGAGCTAATGAAAAAAATCTTTAAAGGAAAAGTTACTTATTTATAAAAATAAAGTACTTCACACCATTTAGACAGCAAGATGTATTTAAATTATATTTATAACAATACTTATACAGCATATAGATTCAAATTAATGAAGCAGCATCATAATAGATTTAACAGGTGGACTTGTGTCAAGATGTTTTAAAGTTATCGACTCTATTTCTTACTTAAGATGGGTTAAATAGATGTCTTATATTGAATTTATTGTTTTTATAAAGGAATGGAATGCAGACTCAATATCGGTGGAGAGCACCGAGAATTCAGGAGAGAGCCTCGAGGCTGTGGCACTTTGGCCACCTGCATTACGGTTTGGACATTCTCCCCTCGCAGAGCCACACACTCGAATAGTCACTCTGACAAATTTAGCCAACACAACTCTGCATTTGGCGTCTGTAGCAGGGACTACGCCTGACTTTCACGCTTCTTTTTTTGATTCTAAGGTAATATATTAATATTATGTTTTAGCTTAGATTTAAATAATGATGATGGTTCTACTTTGACATTATTTATATATAATTTTTTAAAAACTGCATATTTAATTGGTCTAATACTTTTTGTACTATTATCATTAATCAATACATGGGACGTGGAGAACTTCTTAAAAGCCAGACAAAGTACTATTAGATATTTAAGAATTGAGATAGATAAATATTTCATATTGATATATTCTTTATTTTACTAGCAATAATAATAATATTTAAGACAATCAATTTTAAAAGTATATAACTTTTTTATATATGTACGCAATATAACTATTTAGTTTTTTTTATGTAATTTTATTAATTTCTGTGTTTTACTGTCAAAAGAAATGATCTGTAATTTAAAACAACTAGCAACCTCATGAACAGACGTTGAAACGTGTAAGAATGATTTATTTTGAGTTTGTTATAACGCGTTATAATATTTTTAATGTGAATTATATTTACGCCCTTTTATTCATTCGATTAAAGAAAACCTGTTCCGCACCGCTCGCGGCCCGGTAACATCTAGGTCAAACACTGTTATTTCGAATCCAGGCGATGTTTCAAAATATATTTTTTTATCTGTAGAAGTTTAACCGGTAACTTCAAGGAGAGCTTGTTCGAACGAGGGTAGAAAGTAAATTTTTGGGCTGGACGGTCTTTGTATATAGAATTACTAGGGAACTTGCGTAGATTTAGTCTAGGTCTTTGAAGTCACTTAGTTTGTTTGTTTTTCTGAACATATTTCAATTATTACCAAATAAATTTCATTAAATTGCTAAATATTAAAAAAATATATATTTGCATCGGTTTTTTGCTAAGACAATTTTCAAAAATCAAAATTAAAAAAAAACTAAGTTTGAAAATTATATAGTTTATAGTTTTATCCTTTCGTAGTAACATTAAAAATTATCGGTAGCTAAAATAATATTTAAAATATGGTTCTATAATTACACAAATAACATTAAAACATATTTCTTTCTATGAGCTGTATAAAACCAAATTAAAAGCTTTAAAACTCCGCTTATAAATGTAAACACGGACTACAATCAAACTATAAGTACCCACGAAAATTATAAAGATAAAAACTGACATAATCTAAGTAATATATTATAAACTGACGTACATACAGAAACGAATATATTATAGAAGTAATACTTTTCGTAGATATGATTACATTAGTACTCTAGCTGTGCCCGCGACTTCGTCTGCGCGGATACTTTAGGTAGAATTTTGAATTATTTAGGCTGTTTATTTATTTATAAAAGGGCGCATTCAAGGCAGCCAATCTGTGTGGTAAGTGCTACTTTGCCGCAACACTCCTACTCTAATCGCATCACTCTTACTCTAACTCCCAATCCCTTATTAACTACTCCCACTCTCACTCTCATTCCCAAAAACCCAAAGAAGAAAGTTTCATTGTTATAGCCTCAAAAATCATCGAAATTTCCTTACAAACTTTCATCCCTCTTTTCCACCACTAACAACCCTTTTTTGGCATTTAAAGTAGCCTATGTCCTTTCTCAGGAGCTAGAATATCTGTGTAACAAATTTCATTTAAATCAGTTCAGTAGTTTCTGCGTTAAAGCCGGACAGACAGAGTTACTTTCGCATTTATAATAGTATAAATTACTAAAAATACATATGTACACTAAATTCGACGAAGCTGGAGTCAATATAGATAATTGGTACGTAATGTAAAATGAAAGGCATTAAAAATAGGAACCATTGTATAATTACGTTGATTTTTATCATCCCTTGACTTAATAACTTTTTATTTCAAGGTGTCTGACATATTATTTGAATTAGTTTCTACTTCTAGTGACTTTAGTGGTCTCTTGCGGATTGTACGAGAACAATGTGGTTCTTCTGTATGTTCTGTATTATATTTGGTACCCAGGTGAATAAAACAGATTTTTAAGGAACATTGTTATATTTAAATAAAACACTTCAACGATTTAAAACGCGATATATTAGTTAAACTTATTTGAGAATGATTTTTAGGGGGGGGGGGGGGGGGGGGGGGGGGGGGGGGGGGGGGGGGCCCCCCCGGGGGGGGGGGGGGGCGGGAGGGGGGGGGGGGCGGGGGGGAGGCATTTTCAAAAAAGTTTAACTAATAAAACGCGTTTTAAAACGTTAAAGTGTTTTATTAACTACAACTATAGACAGTATTCATTTTTAATTTCAATATACGGCTAGTGACGGGTCGTTGGTTCGACGTTCCAGGTCCAACAGTGCTTCTGCTTTTTCAATTTATAATTGTTTGAAAGAGGCTGGACTTTGCTGACTATGGGTGATAGGAATATAAGAAATTCCATCCGGGTCACGAACCACCGTCCACAGCTGACAAGCATGAAACTTAATCGCTTTCGGTATCATCCTGGATTTCCGAATATCCAAAGCCAAATAGGTCGACAAGACCTTGTTAAGATGTTATACTCTGGGATATATCACCTACCATAATATAACTTAACCAATAGATGTCCTTTTCTATTATTAAAAAAAAACTTCATTTAAAAATATCTATTATGTGTTATTGAAAATTTGTATCGTTCTGCGGTTGTTAATATGACGTCACATATCTACGTCGTAATAAAACCAAATTAACTTCCGTTGTTGCTTACACAACATTGGTAAAGTATACGGTTTTTGTAAAGATAGTAGTGTTTATACGTGTACCGTACAAATATGTATTATGAAGTTTATGCAAAGAGTCATATTGTAATAAAATGTTGTCTTATTCCAATATCTACTTGTGTCTTTGTTAAATATTTATTGTTTATATCGAATTAATAACGTAAATGTACTCGAATCCCTCATTGGTCCTACTGGTTCGATAACTGTTACTATGCGTCGGTCTACGAGGGTCTCTACAGAGCCATAGAAGCCGACAACCTGCTTTGGAGGCGCATAGTAAAATCATTCCTAGGCGAAAAGAGACAGCTGTAAGATTGTTGTTAATTTTTCACGAACCACCGATCGTCAAAGAAAGCCGCCAAGGTTAATCGTGTGTCGGTTTCAGTCTGTAGATTTTCAAATATCCAATACAATAAATAAGCCAATATAAGTCCAAATTGATCTTGTTAATATGTTCTATGACGGGGGTATTTCACGTTCATCAGTGAATTCTGTTCCCCTTTATCATAAGTGAAATAATTCATATCACTTGCCATGGGTATTGAGTACATTGGCACTAAACATTTTTATTATTATTATAAGGCGTGCGAGTACAGCTGGATATAATAAATAGTGCAGGAAAAGAAGAGCGGAAGTGACTGCGAGTGGCGCAACTGCGCTGCGGGAAAAGTTCGGCCCTTGTCATGAGATGGAAGGGAGGCAAGCTCGAACTTTTCCTGCGTCGCAGCTCGCGCACTGTCTGCGATTTACCAAGAAAAAAACTTTGAACATCGAATGAAATTGTGTATTAAAATGTGGATAATTATGTATTAAATAGCCTTTTCTTTGTACACATATGATATATTATTTTTTCGTGTCAAGGACATGGTTTTTGTACATGACTCGTATGTAGCTATTTTGCATTGTATTTTAATTTTCGATTACATATCTCGTTTAAGTTTTTTTTATTGAAAAGAATATAATAATTTGCGATAAACGAGCCCAGCTCATACCAATGCCTCTTAAGTTTCTTCTTGAGTTCGCTTAACAGTACTATTATATAACAGAAAGTCACATGTAAAACACGATCTTTGTCAATTTCGGTTTTAAGTAATGATTTAATTCTGGTGCAGTCAGTGCCACCACAGGGCAACACCACTTTCAGCGTGGTCTATCTTGGCAGAAGAGAGGGACTGGTTACAGCTCATCTGTACATACACACATCTCTCGGAGTGCACAAATATCCTGTAAGTTTCTTTTTTTTCAGTAAATCGCCATTCCTAAAGCAATGAAAATGATATACTTGACCCGGTATATAAGACAGATCTTTGCAGCGATAATATAAATGTCTCAATGTATCAATTCTTTTTTATTTCAGTTATTGTGTTCTTTGTATCTATTCTTTGGTTTTTGCAATCTTGTAAAGGCGTTATACATTACAATACCGTCGTTCTACAAAGGCTACAGAAAATGTACATATTTAGCTCCTACCAACCCCTCAATGAATGTAATGTGTCCAGGTGTCAGCGATTGGCGTGGCGAGTGAATACGACGTGTGGCCGCTGGTCGGCCTCCGCGTACCGCACAATGCGACAGTTGAGCCCGAGCTCACTTTGTATAATCCCACCGATAAAACTATACAGGTAAATGTTCTTGTCTTGATTATAAAATTCAAATAAATAATATTTAATATTGCCCCACAAGTGAACGTAGACGCAATAGCTCAATTGTTTGAGCAACGATAGGTCGATTTGAGACCCTCTATCATCGTTTAATTACTACTTCATCCATTCGTATTAATTGTATTACCCATTGCAAAAGTCTTGTTAATAATGTCTGTGGTTTACGCGAGTAGACATTTAAATATAACACTAACGTTTTAACGGTTAAAAACGCGATGTATGTTAGTTAAACTTACAATTCTGGGGTATGCAAGCCGCCTTAGAAAACTACAACTTTATTATGAAAAGAAGATTTAGATTGTCATTTACTTCGACTAATTTCAGACGTAATATTTATTTACAGGCACGTGATAATTACTTTACCGAAATATTATTTGCATGTAAATTCAATACAAAGGCTCTTTCAACTGTTAATTTGCGATGTCACGATTCGTCTATCGTTTAGGTAGCAGTCCTAATAGATCCTTAAATAGTTTCCAGCGCATATAGGAGGCGCCATGTTTTTATACTGATTATCTCATCGTAGGTGAGCGAGGTGTACTCATCTGGTGGTTGGTTGGGACTCCGTTTGGCCGGTGGAGGATCGCGCGCACCGCGAGACGTGTGGACGGTGCCACCGCGAGAACGACGCGCTCTAGTCAGATTAAGAATCTCCCCTACCCACAAGCAGCCGCTCGCCGCATATGTGCGGTAATAACCCTCGTTTTCGTCATTAATAATGCAGTTAGTGGGTAGTTCTTCTGTGTTATCAGATGAAAGTTTCATCTTAATTATAAAAGAAAGGGAAAATATAATGGTTGATGTTAAATATACAACTACCCGCAAAGTAAATACTGTCTCTGAAGTAGAAGTAAAGATATTTATATAAGAATGTGCAATGCAATAAAAATTCTAATATAAATAACTCAAAACATACAGAGAACTGTTACCGTACGATTATGTATCGTATAGTGAAAATATTGTAGGATAATGCATATTAAATTAAATCTTTAAGGAAAAAGTTAATATTAAACACACGTATTTTATCTACGTATTAATGAGCAAATTTTTTACTCTCAACTATATGAACGTATGTTTCATTTTTTGTTTGTTTATTTACTTTAGATATTTACAAATTTAAAGCACGACATAGTATAATTGGATCAGATTTAAAAAAAATAACGTAAGCAATAAGGGTGAAACTACTTTACGTGAGGGGCACATGTAGTAAACAAATTTGAAAAGACGTGTGTTACTTGTCCTATTCGTAACTAAATAATTTTAATCTATTTTAAAAAAAGTACTCGTAAAGTTAAAAAGTTTTAAATATTATCGCTAACTCATCTGAATAAGAATATATATTTAATCTGATCTTGTTTCTAATAATTTGTAGAATAAAAGCGAACATCCCTGGTGGTGGTTTAGTGGTCTGTGTGGAGGCACGCAGCGCCCCGGCCGGGGAGCACACGCGACCCCTTCACTTGAGGCTGAGGCCGCGAGGCTCAAACGACCTCGAACACTCGGTAACTATCATATCATCAATTTGTTTCATTCTTTTTAGTAATAATAAATAGCAAGTGTGCGGGCGATAGACATTGTAGTTTGTTAAAATTGTTTTCCAATCAGAACTGAAATTGACAGAAAGATGGCGCAACTACTCATCTTGCCCTGTTATATACCATTTGTATAATATACGTATCACCATAACCTAATATTGATGTAACGTGTCCGTAATTGAATCCACATCGATTTTTCACAGGTATACGTGGAGGCAGCGAACAGCGCCGTGGGAGCAGTTCGCTTAGATGCTGCGCTGGACGCAGCTCGCTGTTGGCGCTTTGCCCCCGCCCCGCCCCCTCCATGTGCTCACTCACATGCAGCGAATGGTTCGTATTTATTATCCATTTTTTATTGACGGGTTTAATCAAGCTAATGAAAGTTTGTGTTGTATATGTAATATGTTTAATTCTTATGTTAAACGAAATTTCTTATAAACTGTTACGATAGCGTAAATCAATATTTAAACAATAACACATAGAGAGAAATCTACTCTAAAAAGTAAAAAGTCAGTACGCTTCAAGTGTGTGAAGGTTGTAAATGAATTTTGACGGTAAGGGGACTGGCGGCGAGAATATTTATTCAGACCAAAATACTACTAGGTCTTTTGGTCTGAATAAATATTTTTAAGTATTTTGCTTAAATTATAATAATATAGATCTTACGACGTCATCGAGTGCATATTTTTGTCTTTCAGGCGGCGCCGAGGGTCATAGTGGAGCACATTTGACAGTGCTACGGTCACATCTAGAGCCGTTTGAAGATTTCACAAAAGTCGCCAAATTAACGTTTAACTGTAAGTTTTTTTAATGCAATCCATGGAATCTAAAATAATAATAATGCTAATGTGAAATTCTTTATTTCAATACATTCTCATTACTTTAGGGGCTGTCATTTAAAAAATAAATCATATCTTTAGCCGTCCTATTCCCATACGCATCCAGTAGACAGTACTTAGGTAATTGGTACCCACAACTATAAATGTTTTACAAAGTATTACTATGAAAAATATACATATTATATCTTTATAATGTTAGGAATTCTCAACTAGAGATATTCACAGACGCAGAACTTTGGGCACTGTCACGGCGGAAGCTGGTGGACGAGGAAAAAGTTAATGGGGAGGGCGGGGAGGGGGTCGCTTGGTGCGGGGGTTGCGTTCGGTTGGGCCGAGCCACTGTGCCGTACAGTGTTACTGTTATGCCTGGTACCCTCGCATTCACCCCGGACTCACTAGAGTAAGTGACACATCTTTTAATTCAATGAATAGTTCACTAAGTGTCAGCGGCCTCCACTGGCTTATTACTGCAAATTAAATCTCAACTGCAGGTCTCGTAGTTCAATCCTGTCGTATCAGGCAAAAAATAAAAAGACGCCGTCGGTAGGTCGGTAGAATCGTGACGTGGGTTAAAACTCTTACTGAAAAAATAGTTCTGGTCTAATCTTGATTTCTTCTTAATGTAACTCTGCTACGTACAGTTTATATCAGTTGTAAAATAGGTTTATATAAAATACAATGTTTGTTCTCAGTATAATCACGTCAAACAAGAAAAGCGCTCTTGAAAAGCGGGAGGTGTTTGCTCATAACCAGTTCGATGTGCCGCTGCGAATCAGTACCGTTCAGTTACCAGAAGAAGCACTGCCATACTTTGAAGTAAGATATATAGATATTTTACAGTAAGAAACTTAAATTCAAAACCGATTTTAAATTAGTATTATATTTAAATTAAATTGGTGAAACAAATCACGCGTAATGAATTATGCTTTAAAAATATACTTTTGCTTTTTTATGGGTTTTAATCGTATATATTCGTCATCGTCTTTTTGTCCCAGATATACCAGCACACACCAGTAACCTTGAAACCCGGGGCCCAGGGTCCAATAGTGACGTTGCGCATGCGCAGCGTACCACCCATCGACGTTACACTTGACACGCGCATAGCGGTGCACACGAATCTCTCGCAATATCACGTACCGTTACGTCTCTATAGTGGAAACTTCACGTTTGTAAGTTCGATTCGTTATATTTAAATTGAATTGAAAAAGTTGATTTTATAAGATTACAATATTGTCTGCTAAATTTTCTTGTTGAGTTTCGGTTATAGAGAGCTAGATTAACAAAAAATATTTAAAATTATGTCTAGATATTCGCACTCATTTACACTATTAAGTAATGTCTTTATAGAAGTGATACCATTAAAAATACAATAAATACCACAGTCCTCATGATATAAATATTATAATACTAAATTTATTTGCTAGGAATGGGAATGGCCCAATTCTTCTGATGGCAATTTGGATCTCGGTGTGGTGGGAACATCTACTACTTGGCGCGTTGGCCTACGGATGCATAACCGAGCTTGTGTGGAGCTTTGCGTCACTGGACTGAGTGCGACCTTGCCGGGAGCATCAGCTACTCTTACCAGTAGTACTCCGGTTAGCTGACTTTTAAATCTGTACTAATACATATTACAATGTATCTATGCGTTTGTTTGTCTTAATTTTAAGCCCTAAGCACTAACTTTTCTTGCTCTATTAGTGCACGCGCGATGCTTTATAGCCTTTCTCAATAAATTCTCTTCCTAACACAAAAAAAAAAATCAATTCGAATAAGTAGTTCCTAAGGTTAGCGCGCTCAAACACACAAACAAACTCTTCAGATTGTTATATTAGTATAGATAAGTCTATTTGTTTTTCTATGTTTTTGTATGGCTTATGGTAGTAAATCAATTTATATCTTATTTCTAAAATAAAAAGCAGGAGAAATATAAAAAAAATATACTTTTTTGTTCTTTATAATCTCTTCCAAGTCACTTAAAATAAAACAATATGTTATGTGCAATATGCAAAGCCTTAGTATTAAGCCAAATGTTATGGGTGAAATGGTCAGTGGACAACGTGGACTGATCACCCGTCCTGCCAAGGGTGTCCCCGATAGAATAAGCCAAATGTTTTAATAAACAATTAAATTAAAACAGTTGCAAAAAAGTTGTACCTTATTCATTTGTGAGAAATAAAACACAATAAATCAGCAGATTAATTTAATTTCCAGCAATGTGTCCCTCCTTACGGATGGTCAATGGCGTGGCTTCGTGTGGTCGCGCCAACTCGAGAGGGAGAAGTGTCGGGCACAGTTTCAGCGTCCAGCATGCACGCACGCACAACGGGCACTGTCTCCCTGAGGGCACACACTGGTCGTCTAGTTGCTCGGGCGCCAGTGCTGCCGCCAGCGGCGCCGGTAATTATATTCTGTATAAGTATTCGCACGGACATACTTTACCTGACTTATTGTTTGAAAATAGTTAAACTAACTGGTTTTCGTTTTAACTGGACTTTTTGGTGTAATGCAAGCTATGTATGGCTAATAATCAATGGGTCGTGGGTGTGATCCACACACGTACATACACATATTATATGGGTGGAGGAATATCGAAATTCAGTCTATGTCACAAACCACCATAAATGAAAAAGCCTTGAAGGTTTACATTTGGTTTTAGTCCATGGATTTCCGAATATTTATACTTTTTTAATGTACTCCAAAAAAGCAAACTATCGCATCGATCTTAGCTATTCAAATATATTAGCCAATATAAAGGTTATAAACATATCTTTTCTTCTAGTATGCGGGATCCACGGCACCTCTTGTAGTGGACAGCAGCATGTCGCTCTCGATGAAAGTGACAGGGGTGACTCATATTGACAAAAAAACGCAAGATGTGCTAAGTTTCGTGTGAGTGCCTTTTATTTTGTCGGTCACAAACACTAGAACGTATGAAAATCATTGATAAATTGATTTATTAAATTTTAGGAAAATTGTATTTTGTTTTTGGAAATATTTTTTTACAACGAGTATAATACACAGTTGAAATGTATTAAGATTAACACTATGTATTAAATTTGTTAATTTTAATTAGTAATTGATTAAATTTTCGTATCTTTAGATTGATCTATCTAAATCTAAATTATGTATACATTTTTTAATATCATTGTAGTTAAAATCATTAATTATTGTAGATAAACAAAAGTGACTTTTGACTATTTATGTGCTATTAATATTTTATATTATTATTTGTAACTAACAGGCCGTTAGAAGACACTGAAGTAGGACCGGGTAGTCACATAGTGGGGCATATTCATTACGACCCCGAGAAACTCTGTGAGCCGAACTGTTATACGGGTCTCTCTATGGATTCGCCTGGTAAATATCGCATGTTATTTTTCATCTGACCATTTAAATTATATACCTATTGTAAAACTTATTAAAACTAAACTTTTACTGAAGCTTTTTCTGCTCAAGCTTTAAGTATTTTGTAATGCTCTAAATTTATCCAAATCATTGAATTAGTTTGGGCGCAGTAACACATTGTTTTTGCTTCTATCCGTCCCTTTTTTCCTCTTAAATCATGTGTGTAGCTAGACGATGGCGCCCTGTGGGCTTCGGCCTCGGTTTGGACCATCACACTGTGAATGAAAGCTTAAAGGGCTTGACGAATGCTCTCCTGAGTGCAGGGTCTATCCCTCCATGCTTCCATATTTGTATGGTGTTTTTTGTAGGATAGGAGTATTATGTACTGTCTTATGTATTACGCAGAGGGCGCGGTGTGGTTGGAGCGTGCCAAAGGCGAAGGTGGATGGTCCAATGCAATAAAAGCTGATTTACACGCATTATCGGCACGCCTACATCAGTTTGAAAACAGTTTGCCTACTACCAACTTTTCCATATACCTGCATACCACACAGGTACATTATTGTCCCTTGACAATCCTATCTTATGCTTCTTTCCATTTTAAACTTTGACAATTTGCATTTGGAATTTAAATTAATCTTATCGATAGATCCAACATTTTAAAGTTAGATTGTTTATCCAGAATTAAGCCGTTATTTAATTATTTTAAGGTTTAATAATTAAGACAAATATGAAGCCGAATGCAAAATTATCATCATCTAACTTTTAATTAATTTTTAAGGTGGTACAAACAGCTGTAGAGTTATCAGTAGAACACAATTGGCCACATCTTGCCATTAGCAGCGGGGTTGAAGACCCTAATGAAGTACCACCAAAAAATGAAAACGATTCCTCGAAAGATGGAGTTAAATTGAAAGACGGAGTAGCTAACGGATCGAAAGAGCAGAGTGAGATAAGTGAAAGCGGAAGGTTGGGTGAGATCGGTTTAGTACCAGTGGGTGGACGAGGCATAATGTGGGTGCGCGTGCGCAATCCGTCACCAAGCAAAAATCTCCTGGTGCAAGCAGTGCTCGCACCGACGTTAACGGATGCGTTGCGGAAAGAGTAAGTACTTTTATCTAAAAGATAGTCTGTAGTTGAAGCCAGTAGTACACATTTAAATAAAACAATAACTTTCGGATTTAATCTCGGGGAGACTGCTCCACCGCTGCTGCAAAGCTTGCGAAACGTTAGGCCGTAGTTAAAATAATTTGTAAATAAGTTTAACGAATATATATTTTGCGTTTTAAACCGTTAAAGTGTTTTATTTAAATAAATAAAAATAATGTTAGTACTCGGCTACGCACTTCTCTTTTTCTCGTTATCGTGAGGTTATCGTTTTATAAACATTATTACTAGTAACTGTAAGAGTTTACAGTGAAGTAGGATAACGTTATATTAGTTTGTACTTTAACAGTTCCACTGCCGACAAGGACTGGTGCGTCTCTGAATCCTGTGTTTGGTCGGATTCGTTTGCCATTGACGGATGGCGAACCGTAAAAGGCGAAGTTCGGTTGTGGGACAACGATGATGATGAAGCAAAGGATAAAAAAGAAGAGAAGAAAGTTGTCAATGCTTTGCCCATAATGGAGCTTATGCCACACGCGGAGCTAGATGTTCGCATCAGCTTCGCACCAAAGCAGGCGGCTAGTTTGACGACATATATGTACTTAAGGTGAGCTTCGAAAACTATATTGAATGATTTTCATACATTAGAAAAAATTGGGTCGAAATTACAGTAAGCCAAATGTCCATACACAAAGTTTCGTTTGCTCGAATTTCGACAGTGTCTCCAATTATCGAAAATTTTTAAAATATCTTTCAATTTATATAAAGAGTCATGCAAGCATGTGAAAAGCATCTAATGATCACCTTATATTATATTAAATTGCTAGTTTTTTTTGTGATGACAGAGTTTTTCAACTAACAAATTATTTCAGGAACAATTTGACGATATTAGAAGGCGTTCAACTTTATGGCGTTGGCGCATTTCCTAGTTTTGACTTAGGTGGAAGGAGGCCTGGTCCATCTTCTATTTTCCACTTTGAGGTTAGTGTACATACTAGGGTCGTTTACACTTCCTTCTTATTTTCACATACACAGAGTACCTATATGCAAATCTATATATAAAAAATATTCTGCAGGTCGAGGAGTGTGTGACAAGTACCCGCTCGGCAGTAGTCCGCCGTCGCATTCTCGCACGCAACACGGGGCGTGTGGCCGTTCAGCTTCACAGTTGGGACATATCTCGACAAGGTTGTCGGGCACGAGGTTTCCGCGTCTACCCCTGTGCCCCACTTATACTCGCCCCCAATCATACTGCCCCAATACATCTCGCGTTTACCCCAGATTATACTTTGTCTCGACAAAGCGCGAAACTTCGCCTTCATTCCGATCTTGGGCCCGTTGAGTATTCACTTCTAGCCACCGTTCCAGTTAAACTTCTAACGCGATGCGCCCCTACCTTTCCCAAACATCCCTGGGATGCGCCGGTTCGGAACTTCGTCAATACATTTACTTTTATTATCCTCGCGGTCCTACTATTCACCGCTGTGTATGACTCAGAACGATTGTTACGTAGAGCGAGATCGACTAGGGCACCCTCAATACACCGAACTCCATTGGATTTGCGGGAAATAGCAGCAAATACGACTATAACTCAGCCGCCACCTCCCCGTGCTCCTTCTAGGCGCCGCCGCCCTACCAGAAGAACGGACCCGAGAGCGGAAAGAAGAGCTTTCGAAAGGTGGCGAACAGAAGTACTTAGACGAACAGACGATGACTCGTCTCGCTCCAGCGAAGACTTGGATAACGAAAGTCGAACTTCCCCAGAGAGAAACGAGCCAGAAACTTTCGACACTAGTGAGACGTTTGAAAAGAATGAACCGGAGAAAGTTGAAGAAAATGTTGAAGTTGCGTCTAGTGCCTCCGATGAGTCGACTCCAGTGGACGAACAAGATAACGATGAAGCTTACACGGCTGATGCGGAATTGGATGCGCGAGACTCTCCGGAAGAAACTGTCGTGGAACCTAAAATAAGTCCAATACGCGCCCAGACTCCGCCCAAAGTTCAAATTGATCGCTCGCGCCGGTCACCAAACAACCGACGGGAGAGGCGAAACGAGGAGAACGTAAGAAAGAATACCCGTCCCCATGTGAGGAAAGAAAAACGTCGTCAACGTGTAACTACGCCGCCCAGGTCAGCTGCAGCGGTAAAAGAAAATGTTGAGACGGGGGAGATAGGGGAAAGCAGGGGTACAATTCGTTGGGGGGGCTTCTTGGAGTTCGGTGGTCGCGGGTCCTCCCCTGGCTCCCATTGGTTCCGATGTACGAAGACGAGAAAATAACACAGACAACTCGTTATTCTATTATAACGGAGCCCCTGAACCGCCCAGGCCTGAACCAGAGTTTGCGTGGAGACCAGCGATTGGAACACCAGAACGATCTCCTTTTACACCGTCAACTAGAGAATTTCTAGGTAAGCAGTATTTTTATGACTTTAATTCGTCAAAGAATGCAAAATATTATAATATAACTATGATTCAGTTTTAAACGTTAATAATGTAATGTGGAAGTGCCCATTCCTATTGATATTTTGACTTTATTACTGAAGACTTGTGATAAAGTGATCTTTAGTAGATTTATTGTAGAGCTTCTTCATAGTATGCAGTAGATACTAATTTAGCAATCTCTTTGTAGGTAATAAATAACAATTTAGCCAAGGTGAAATGTAATTTTACAGATGAAACTCCAACATACAACTCATTGGGGTCAGTGTGGGGCGCCTCAAACGCCTGCGACACTTGGGCCTGGGGCGGGGCCCCCGTCCGACCGCCGCCTGGCTTCGCCCAACATGCCCCCCGGCCCTATGACCCTTTCCGCTCGCTAGCGTCAATCTGGGCTCCGGCGCCTCACGAATGGCATATTAACACCAATAACCCTCGACCCGATGATGAACATAAGAATTAAATGTGAACTATGCGATTATAATGTCAATTTTAATGTAGCACACAGCGCAGCAAGTAATTGGAACTAAACTTTCAACTTCCTGAAAGTTGAGCCATTGGTTCAATACGTTTTAAACAATAAAATCAATATTTTGCAACTATTATTAAGGATATATGTATTTCCATTATAATCGTGTTGTCACTGAGATCTGTTAAATACTAACAGCTTTTTTTCATGGACACCGAGTTGTGTTATCATTACATGCTGTCAGAATTAATGATGCCTGTTAAGTTGTAAAACATCTAATATAGTTTGTTAAATGTTGTAACAATGCAGCATTTGGTGTATTTGATGATGTCTAGTCATAGTTTCACATCATCAGATCATCTCCATGATCAAATTGGTCCAATTAATTCAATGAACATAGTACTAGAAATACCTTAATCCTATGTGTACCCGTGGTCAATTGAATAATAGGAAAGGAAATAGATTTGTTACATGTTTTTATGTAAACTAGCAGTTTTTTATAATAATAAACAACTTATCTAAAACGATATATTTACATACAAACATTTCCGTGACATAAATAATTTAGAAATAATTCTAAAAAATTATGTATCTATTAAGATTTACACTTTGTACCGTTGAACAAAAGATGAAGTAAGATTATTACTGACTGTATGTTACAACTTTCAAATAAACTTTACTGCAATTGAAGTTTCATTTTTATGGTAGTATGTATTTCATATGCTCAAGATTAAGTGTTGTATAGATTAAGTTGCACATGTTATGGCATGGATAAAGGCCAGTTTCAATATGAAGCTGCATTAATGCAGGTCATTATTGTTTTACATACAACTTGGAGTCTCATTATTCACACATGAATGCACAATGCATTTATGTTTTACCTATCTATTAATAGCATGAACAAGTATTTAACTCTGTGTGATGATTATCTCTAAATTAGTTTAATGGTTGTACAAGGCAAATTTTTGTCACTAGTCATGACCTTTAAAAAACTATTTCGTCTTATTGAAGACTGAATAAACATATTTCTTAATTCCAAATTGTTTTATTTTATACACTCAATTATAAATATTGCATCAATGGAATGCAAGACAAATTAATAATGTAAAAATATAAAAAGAAAGATTTCATGAGCAGTTTCAATAGAAATTTTATTACAAAAATTCATATCATATTATCATTACTCCAGACAACTTAATCCGTATGGAGTAGTCAATGTAAAAGTCCAGAAAGATGTCAATATCTTTTCAGTATCTGTATTTTGTTGAATAGTCTTTTGGTGAGACAACAAGACCCCTTCCTTTTCTGGCACCTCTGTAGACAGTTTCAATTATATCTATCATCTCTTGTTTATCTTCTAGTGGCCAGTTAATCTTATTGTTGTTACCAGTACCCAAATCTATCATTATATGTTTGTTGCGGAAGAAGAACATCACTGTACATGGATCATACAATTCATACCTGCAATGATTTAAACATGAACCTATTTTTTTTAATTGAAGCTAACGTTAGCTAAAATATTCAAATTAAAGACTGCAATTGCAAACAGAAATGGAAAAAAGTTATAATAATCCAAAACATAGTAATTACTTTGCATTTGTACATACATTTTATTAAAATCGGGAACCTCAGTGATGTCTACTAGATATATAACTGCGAAGTTCTTAACTTTTTCAGCAATACTGTAGAGTACTTCATCCATTTTCATACATGTAGGATCCCAGTCATGACCAAATCTTATAACCTGAAATTTATTCAGTGTTAAGTGCAGAAAAAACTTTAATGGTTTGATTCTTTAACCTATTTACCACAACTCGATCTTCTTCCGATAAGATAGCTTGGTCCACTTGCCATCCATTGTGTAAATGTCCTAACATATAACTCATTTTGACTTATTTTTAATGTCTGCTACAATAAAAGTAATAATCACTAGTAATAATAAATATCACATAAACTGACAACTGATGTGCAACTGATTTCTCTTCAATAACTTGTCATTTGTAACTAATTGTGAGGGTAAATAAAATGTTACCTGACCACAGATTAGAAGTGTTTCTTATAAAATTTTATAATTGTCAATTGTCAAAATTATCAAATCTCCGAACGTAGCAAACGCTGTGGACACTTTAAACTTTGTAACGAAAAAGTCTTTTATTTTTGTAATTATTTTACTCTTTTGTACTTTATTTTGTAAAGTACACACATAATGAAAGGAAGATTATGTTTTAATCCAGGACTAAGATTTCAATACCTAATTAATATTTTAAGAATACTAAAGTTACCCGCACCAGTCGCGACTTGGAGTAGAATTTTTATTAGTTAATGCGAGTATAATTATTTTGTGGAATCTTGGTTCGTATTCTGTTTTCTTTCTTATTCTATTCTGTTGGTAAAGTGCATTGATTTAAATTTTACGCTAAAACAAAGAGGGCCTCCCTACTTAAATGCATGGTTGGTAGTTGTGATAATAAAGTAGTTGCTTGTGATATGGCTTCACATAATGTGTCTGCAGTCTGTTAGCTTAAATAAAATAGTCTCACATTGGAAATTCAAATAACGCTCGTTTTACAAAGTCAAAGATACTTTCTATACGTGAGGATTTTAACTTTTAATTTCCATACGACCTTGAAATCTAATATTGTGGGTAGACATTTGTCTGTGTTAAAAACAGTTAATAATACAATAAAGCGCGGACTTATCCTGAACAATATGAATGTTTCAGCGTGGAACAGACTTATCCAATGTGTTAAGTTGTTAATTTTATATTATTTGCTCATCTAAATCCAGCATGGATGAAGATAGTCTATAAATTGCGGTTACTTTAAAAGTTAGACTTATCTTTTTGGAGAAACGGAAACATGAATTGTTATAACAAAAATTTCACGATCTGTTGTTTCTTCGTTGAGCTGTTTATTACGCTTAAGATATCTTAAATATATACGTAAACTTCTAAGCTAAGTAAACAACAAGACTATTCAAAGAAATTTTACGGAAACCTTATTACATCGAAATGAAATATTAGCTACTGCGATACACTGGCAAATTGAGATATAAAGTAACCCTTGCATTAGTTCTATTTGCATTTTATAAACAACCTATATTTTGTTTATCGTAGTGTTCAGTTTGTTTACAATACGGCCGTGAGCGGAGTTGGCATAACGCCATCGAACGCGGTCAAACACCAAAACACTAATTTCTCGGTTCTCTAAAAAACGCCTGGTTTAGCTTCACACTGCATGATTTGCATTATATCGTCGGATGGAATTAGTCTCTGTGCGACGGTTTATTTTGTTGTCCCTTTGTGTAGCGAGAACGCAACCTACCTGTGTGAAGATATTGATCATAGGATCGCGTGAACTGGATTAATAATAAGTGCATTGTTGAATTTAGAATCGTGAGTGTTGCTTTGTACGCGTATATATGTGTGTGGCAAATTACATGTTTCGTTATGTTGTAATTAGAGCTTATATACACTTGTAGGAAGGTAATTATCATGTCTGTTAGCTTTGTCTTTTAGTTTAGTTTTTAAATTTAGACCTAGAGAGAGAAATTTTTTACGCAGTAGGTAAAATCGACAGCCATCAACAGCTATTTTGCGTATTAAAAATAATATTAAAACATATAGACTTCGAATTCTAATCCTTCGCCGTGTCTATTGAAAAACGAAATGTAAGACTTTTTAAATTCTCACTACTGTGATACGTTTTTAAATATTTTTTTTTTATTTTAAATAAATATTTTAAAACACCTTAACCTTTTCGCTTAGCACTAGTACTTTGAATTAGAAATAATTTATAACGTGCTTTTCAAAGTAAATTGATATACGAAAAATTTATTGGCTTAAAAGTTTGAAGTTTTTCTTAAATGCAGGAGTATAAGATGGATGCGGTATATCCAGCTGCAGCGTCAGTTCTGACCCGCGGAAGAAGGCGAAGACGAGCTGAGCCTCGTCTACGTTACCATACAATGCCAGTTACCTTTGCTGAAATCAAGGTGACAATTTTATACTTTTTTAGGGCACTTGCCTAATTAGGAGTTAATTTAATGGTATCTAGTTCTTTTTTAACTGTTTTAATTCGCAAAGTATAATTGTTAACTTACAATTTATTTTCGCGATGGCCCTATTTATTTTTGTGCGGAATTGTATTAGTATGTACAATACATTGCCAGTCGAGATTTCAAATGTATCGATAAATAAATTTAAGAAAGTTATAAAACTTAGATTGTCCCAAAAGGCGTATTATTGTCAGAACGATTTCTTTAATGGCAATACCGCCTGGCAGTAATATGGATTGCTCCCTAGGTTAATAAATTCACAATGTATTAGTTTATAAGACATGTTAAAAAAAGCCGGACTGCGTTTCTTGGGTGTTCTTCTCAGTTATATTGCTCTTTTGAACAATCTTTAGAATCACGACGAACAGACAGACAAACAAAAATACATTTTGACTGTATATGTGTAGTACCTAAGTACAGACATCATTTCTGATACAATTTATCACTTCAACCTATATATTCGATCCCAATTCAAAACTGTTTGACCGATATTAACTTTAAACCCCACTTTTGATGGATTATCTAGCATAGCACCATGTACTAGTTGTATAAGTAAGACATATGGCCTATATAAATTGAATTATTTATTCGCTGATAATATTTTATCCTGTACTTTACATACATCGAACTGTAAGAACACAGATACGCAGCCTAGGACGCTGCTCAGTTATAATCAAATAAAACAATAAATAACACGCAAAATATATACGGTAAATTACTTTTAACCATGACGGTTTGCAGCTGACGCAGTCGCGTTTAAAACCGTGTACAAATAATAGCTAAAATAGCTTATAGCTAAAGTTAAAATTTTCAGGAAGTAGATGAAGAAAAAGAAAACGACGAGAAAGTGCCGACAGCAATCAGCTCATCCAACGTATCTGCAGCGAACATAGAGGAACGGCGAAGAAGACCCGACGTTCTTGATGAAACTCTCAGTAGACAGTTTACCGAGTTTCGGAACAGAAGAACGAGGCGTCGACGGGACATTTTACAAGAGACAGACGAAATCGAAGACGCGCGAGCTCAGAGCGAACCCAGCGATGCTACCGCCCTTCCTACTTAGTCTTATAAATACAGCGATTGAGGTGTCTATGGTGATAGTTCCTTTGAAGTACATGGAATTAACTCTAAAGGACTGACAGAATGTGTGCAAAACTTCATATTGAAATAATAATGTTTCACACGTATATTGTAAAATAAATGGTGAATTTCACTAAATGGTGACGTGAAAATAGAAATCTATTTGTTTAAAGTGTGCATTTATTTCAGTTTTTTTTTATGTTTTGCTAATAATCAAGGTTTGACTTCAGTCAAACGCATGCAGTCGATTGATCAGAAATTTAGTATGTACGTCTATCATACCTACCGAAAACAAATTTTTCGTCCTTTTATTTCCAAATTGTTTATTATTTTAAAATTTTTCGTATTAAAGCCAAAACCAAATCTCAAATTGATTTTGTAAAATAAATATATAAATTGCGAAAATCTCTTAATTTTATTTAGTTTTTACAGTCGCAAGGACAAATCGCGTTAATATTAACAGGTCGATAGATACTCGTACCACTTATTTTTCGGATACTGTGATAAAAATAATGTTTACCTTATCTGTATGTTTAACTTAGAATTACGTGTAGTTTTCTGTTATCTAATGTTATGTACGTAATAAGGTGTAAATTGACATCGAAGTAGGAATATAAAATAAATGCAATGTAAGGTTCTAATCTAGGACACACGTAATCTGCCCCATAAAGATAAAATGGGATTTAATTTTTTCCCTAATAAAACGAACGTCATAAAAACGTTTCTAAATAAGTTAAAACATGGTATTTTAAAACTATTTTAATGTTACAAAAAATACATTACCAGTCATTCATACCGAGTAAAATAAATACATAATTTACAATGTACAATAACAAATAAATTATTTAACGATTAAGGAGTTAATCCAGTTTTTGTAAACTTAACTCTGTAAGAAAAGGTACAAAATAAACCCGTTCCAATCTGGTCGATATAGTAGTATATAAAGTCATTGAAATAATTATAAAAAAACACTAAGTGCTGATATTCAGAGTTGCAACTAATAAATGCGTTATTTATATCTTCTTTCCTGCTACTATATTACCTTCACAGACATGTTTGAAAATAAATATTTCTATAGGTATATTTAACCTACAAATAAAGTTTAAATTGACGGGTAGGCGTAAAACACTTAAAATATGGCTATATAATAAATTATTACTTATAATCTATATTTCAAGGTACTACATACGAACTACACAATAAAAAAACTTATTTTGTAAATAGTGACTATTTAAACAACAATATAATTTTATTTAAATACTGTTATCTCCGATCAAATATCCACATCAAAATTTACAAATAATATCACTTTATTAACATTTCCTTAAAAACTTTTAAACTAGGCTTTAAGTTTTCCTAATACACATTACAACGAAAATAACTTATATTTTTCCTATAATACCTTAGAACATTATCTTCGTAACTTAGTTAACTTTAATACTGTACAAAATATAATTATTTGTCATGACGATTAACTTACATTACGATTAACATTCGATTACCTACTGAAAGGAGGCTGTTTTGTTTACATGTTTGAGTTGGCTCTTTTGACTTGCGACAGCTGGCGCTAATGGACGGTACCTTAAGACACTATTTATGTATTTTTCGTACGACTAACAGAGCTAAAGGTCTGACCAGCTACTGAAATAGACAATGTTGCGTTGTCGCAGAAGATCCGGTTACTTGCAATGCTAGATACTATTTTAGCTGTTTATTGAATTACAATTAAATGAGCAAATCTCGTTAGAATTTTAACGATCTCACTTTAAATCGCTTTCTTCTGGCTGTATTTCAGTTTCTGCCGCGGATGGTATAGTGTGTAATAGTCTAGGAGGCGGCAAAGCTACGGGTGACGCCGGGGGCTCGTCAGCAATAATTGCCGGCTGTCTGGTTAGACGTGGTCTAGACCCACTCGCTGTCGTCGCGCTACCTCCCGACCTCGACGTCCGCCAAGTTCCTGTAGACGCCGTCGCATTTGATCCCGACGAGTCGTTTCGTGAGGACGATAGATTTGAATCTTGTGATGTTTTTCGGGCGACTAGCCAGGACGCAGCTCGCCGCGGCGGTGGAGGCGGTCGGCCATACGTTCTCCAAGAGTCTGAACGTGATGATGAGAATTCTACTGAGGAAGAGACGGAACCTGTGCGTACGGGAGGGGCGGGAACTTGGCGCGGTGTCGGAGGCACGGGTGCCGTCGACCGACGACCACACGCTCGCAACCACCGTAGGAGCCGCTCTCCGCTCGCTTCACCAGATCCAGCAGTGTTCGTATTAGTCTCGCTGACTACCGGAGCGCCACTTGCAGGCAACAACCTACGACAAGCACATGCCGCACCGTGCTGCCCTCTAGACGATCTTTCTGCTAGACTGTTTGTGTTAGCCGGTGTTTGTCTATTACTAAAGTTAGACGAGTGTCTACATCTGCCAATGCCGCGCGTCACCCTCGATTCTTCAATAGCCTTACATACGAGAGCACAATCCTTTTTGAATTGCTTGGTAAGGATTGCATACAGGAAAGGATTGCAGCATGAGTTCAATGGTAAAACGAAAACAGTAAATACTTTCGCTTCTTCGAGCGAGACTAGTTGGGCGCCAAAAGCTGCTGTCAAGGCGAAAAATGCTATTGGGGACCAGCAAAGGAAATCGGTGAATACAAGCAATGCCATACGCTTGGCGATGCGCGAATCATTGGAGTTCCAAGCTTGGGATCCTCGAATAGCGCAGTACATCTTAAGATAACACCCGAGCAGGACTAGAAATGCGATACCATTGATGACCAGCAACGCGACTACGTAGCTGAGGGAAACTGGTGTACTCGTTTCGAATGGGAGGCAGACGGCGAATTTCCTATAATCGGAAACACCTAGTAAGGGTAATGAAGCTGCAGTTAGAGAAAAAGCCCAGCCTGCTGCCATGACGACAGCAGCGTGGCGAAGCGACAGTCTCTTGTTAAGGTGCATGGCGTGTGTGATAGCGTAGTTTCTTTCAAGAGTGATCACAGCAAGTGTATAAACAGATAGCTCGGAGGATAATACACCGAGGAAGCCAGCCAGGCGACAGCCACCGGACATCTGCCAGGCTATGGCGTGTGCTCGGAATTCTCCTAGCGTTCCAGCGTCCACCACTGCAAGGAATCCTGAAAAATAAGAGTATTACTTCGCAATGATTGCTAATAATGCACAACACGCTAGTGACTTCTGATTTAGATATTTGCAAACAAATAAACACAATCACACTCTAACCCATACATTTTTATGGACAATAATTCAAAAGATTGGCTTTTCTTATTCATTTAGTTTGTTTAAAAAAGTAGTAAACATGATCATATGGCAGTTAGCGTTATCTCCACAACTTCACTGTTATTTTAGGAGCCAACAATCTACTATATTTTATAATACATCTAAGGATTATAAACTTTATGATATTTTAACTTGTAAGCTCACCTAAGTAAATCCCCATGAAAAAGTCTGCAGCAGCAAGGTTAGTAACAAGAAATCTGGGCACGTCAATGCGACTGCGACTGAACACCAATACGAATACCACTGTGCCATTGCCCAGCAATGCCAATAAAAATACTGCCCAGACGCCGCATCTAAGTGTCCACCAGTCGAAGAGATCTACACAGGGCAGAAATGGTCCTACAAAAAAAGACGTTATTTATACACACAGTGCGTTCAAACCACATGAATTGTAAATTTCTGGCATCAGATGGACAGAGGAATGTCAAAAAATTATGATAGTCATAGATTCAATATTGAAGGAACGTTATTTATTTTGTGGCTTAAGGACACTATTTAAATAGGAGTTCAAGGTAACTAACCAGGTAAGGGAAGACACCTCACTTGACGACCCCCACCCGAGCGTAATTCTACTCCGCTCCAAGAACCCGCCGCTGGCAGACGAGATCCGCTTTCATCAGTTGCATTTACTGTAATATTTAAAAAAAAATGGGCATTACAAAAAAAAGTAAAACCTTTTTCACTTTAGGTAATATTTATTCTTGTTTATCGCTATAAATATGTGGGAGGATTGACATTAATACTAATCTATGGTACATACCCGAACTACGGACCCACGATAAAACGTTTTATGGAATATTATACGTTTTTAAGGTTCATGGATCAAGAATCTAAATTCCAACTTACGGTAATGCGGCCAGATATCGGTCGCATTAGCCCAGGCAGCTAAGTCGACGTGAGCTGGTGGTAACAACACCAGATCGCTGAAACCTTCCCGCTCGCTCCACTCTTCATCACCACTGCCAGGATCCTCCATTAAAGGCAGAAATTCGCAGCAGTGGTATGCATAAGACAGGACGAGGGTCTAAAAAATATTCTGTTCTTTTATTTGTTAATAAAATAGTAATACATTCCTAGTTACAGTTGTTGTCAGAGTCACATCATTAATCATAACATTCATTTTAATCGATTCAGCAGTTCAGGCGCTAGAGTGAAACGTACATACATTTATAATATACTTGATTCAAACATAGACTATTACCTTTCTTATTGACCTTGCTAGGACAGATTTCAAAGAAATACATCTTAAGATTTACAGCTTGGCTAAATTAAAGCCAAAGTTTTTGGTCATTTATATAAATACGGCGTATAAATGAATACTTTGTATAGTTTAATACTGGCATTTAGATTCTATTAACAATATGTTAAGACGTGTACTTTACTTGTATCCGGGGAAAGAGCTCTGGTGGGTGGAAACGACGCAAATGTGGGTTATTATGCGCTTTTAAATGAAGAAGCTGTTGTAAGCCGCTGGCTGGAAGACTTGGAAACATATTGTTTCCCACGTTTCTGTAACATCGTGGATTAATTAGCTGCTACGAGAATAATAAGAGGGATGTAAAGTAAAATCATAGTTATACTATAGACGTATAGAGTTGAGAAAAGTATTAAAATTTACCGAAAATAACTGTAAAAAAGTCAATAAAAATCCTTGCACTTGAACACGGTAAAAGATGTAGTAGAGTAAATGGCAACTGCGCTATCGGACATCGGCTGTGGGTTCTACTCCCAACGTGCGTCATCGATTTCTTAATTATTCATATACCTAATCCTGTTTCTCAATTTATGAAAACTGCGTTTGGATAAATATGAAAATAAACATTCAATTTCTTTTACAGTATTTACTCTGTGTGAAATAAAAATGAGACTGGTGACGCCAGAATAATAAGTGAAAAAGAAGGTTATCTACACAAGGTTTACTTACAAGTCTTCTAATTTAGAAATAGGGACGAAAGCTTCCATATCGATGTGCTCAATACGATTGTCCTCGAGGTCTCTGCAACAATAACAAGCATATTTGCTCCTTATTTTTTTCTTAATGGATTTGCTTTGAAATTTAATTTAGCAAATTCTTTAATTCACCGACGTCCAATGCTGCACACGGTAACTTTATTACGCTTCTAATTTGTGAAAACAATGTACTCAGTACTCATAAAAATCAGTAATAACAAGTTCCCCAAAGAACAACATGACTTGCAAACTAGTGCATTATTACTAGAGATACAAACATGAAACAACTATGCATCAACAATGCTAGAGGTAATTTACATGAATTGGACGGGTCTCATTAGTAAGTTCTGCTTTTGTAGGGTTACTAGTTGTACGTTTGTGAAATCGGAGTCTACTAATAAATAAAAAAAATGGAGTAAATTTTAACCCTGTGTTACAAAGACGGTATCGGGATGTTTAACAATTATACTAATTTAAGTACTATATATTTACAAAAATCACATCTCTATAGATATTAAAAGTTTGCCTTCTAATATAACAAAAAGCATTAAATGTGTAGCTATTTATCTCGTTAGCTGTAAAAGCAAAAGTTGCGAACTAGCGGACGGACCCAATCCTCCTTTGCATAACTAAGGAGCTAGCAGTTCCAAACTCCGATCGCGTCTGTGCGGAAAATGTACATTTGATAACTTTCCTCAATTCCGAATGAGTTTTGACGAAATTACGTTAAATATAGATTCGTGTTATTTTCCATCTTTTAATTAATAACTGTCCTTGTATAAGATCGTGGAGTCACATATTTTGCCGACGATATTTCAGATACGGGAAATATTAAAAAATTAAAAGTGATGGATTCATTTGGTTTATGGAGATGTATTTTAAAGATTAAGGTCTGACTTTGACTTTACCTCTGCCCAACACCTAAAGGAAATAGTTAGTTTCCGCATGTTATAACAAAATTCAGTGAATCAATGACGACCTTTTATTGGACGGTTAAGCCCGTAACCTTTTGGTTATGTGATTGTTGAACATTGTGTGCATTTTCAATAGCCTTTTAGAAGGGACTTCGAAATTTGCGTAATACGTAGCTTTTGTATTCGATAAAACAAATATTTTTTTTTGTTTATAAATTCGACAATAATTGTCTGGCCATTATGTAAGTTAACGAACAATTTAATTAGGTATTCTGTCAAATTACGATGAGTTGCCTAATTGAATATTGGGACACGGAGGCCATAGCGGCGCAGGCGCAGCGATTCGGAGATAGCCATAATCGTTGCCCATAATTGGTACCTTCGTTACTAAGAGGCATTGTGCTTGCAAAATACCACGACCTATCTCGATTTAATATTAAATGTAGTCATAAATAACAATTCGTGTCTCTCATATTTCGTAACTCATCATTCAACTTTTTCGTGATGGGTTCTGGTGAATTAAAAAACGTTAAAATCTCACTTGTCCTTAAAGAATTATTAAGCTTTTTCCTTAAAATAGATAACTAATCTTTGAATAGTTTTTGTACACACTGGGTATAAACTATTGGGTTGTAAACTTTGTAATGAAAACAAAAACTTACAGTAATTGAAGGCGGTTTGTATGTAGAAAGGCATCTGAGGGTATCTTTCTAATGCGGTTTCTGGCCAAAAGCAGGTCGTGTAGACGCCGCAGACCACGCAAAGCACCATCTCCTATAGACTCGATGTTGTTATCTGACATATCCCTGTTGATAATTGTTATGCATCAAGACATTATCAAGGGAACTATAATTGGGTGTGATTATTAGAGAGAAAGAGACACAAGCATGCAATTTGACGAAAAATTAAATACCCCAGTCACATAATATGTTAACAAAATGCGCTGTCGCCAAACTTTGGCTTTGGATTTACGGAAATTCACAGAGTACACCAGCATTTCCTATTGTGGCCACGGTAGTTCGTGAACAAAATAGAATTTCCATATTCCCACCACCTATTTATGTCCAATGCGCAGATTACCCAGACGGGGCAAAGTTATTTATGCTCGAAACAAGGTGTTTTTGTAGGGTCCATTAAGTATTTTTATTTATTCAGTTGAAGCTGATAACTCTTACTGAATTATTCTTTTGAACTTTATAACAACTTACAATACACGCAGCTCAGAGCATTCGTGAAGATCAGGTACTTCACTTAGTTGATTCGATCTTATATCTCTGAAAAGAAAATCTTTTTAACGATGGAAATTAAATTGCGTCTACAGTTCTCTGTGTCTAAAGTAAAGCGCTCACGAGCGACAGCGAGCCTTTTTAATTTATTTATCTCTACTAAATGTATAACAAGGAATTTTTAAGGATGGACCTTACTTATTGTATAACTATAATATTTCTTACTGTATCTTTAGAACTTACTAAGCTGGACGCATTATTACATTATGACACACACTCGAAAGATATTTAAATCGAACGAACAAGATGTAACAAGATGAGCCTGGTATGATACAGTAGCACAGATAAACATTTACAGGTACTTGGTTGGTTCGAGTCCCGACCGTACTAGCAATTTTTTTCGATATAAATAAACTTTCAGTTTATACTACTAACTGGATTGGCAAACTGATGTTACATTATTAGTTTGATATATACATGTGTATCACTTTGCGTTTGGCTTCAGATAAAACATTTAGTGCGTGGATTGCGTACATCGTTGGCAAGATACATTCAACCTACATCTCTATCTTGTAAATAATGGATAGAAATGCAACTCAATTATTTTGAAGGTTGTGTTATGTAGGATCATAAACAGTTTTAGATAAGTCCATCCTTGGCATTGTATACAATAGACTGACATTGTGTGTTAATAGTGCACACCACGTGGGTGCATTAATATGTATATTACATATAACCACTATGTATACATTATAATAATGCGTATCACATTAGCCCGTCTGTGTATTATATGTATAATTGTAACTAGGCTTAGAACTTTCTTTTTGTCTCTTCTTTTCGTAACGTAGAATATTGTATCAATTATAAATGCAGACCGCCCCGTACCATAGTATGGTTAATCGTGCCAGCTCTAGGTTCGAATCCTGAAAAAACAATAGATATCCCCATCATATTGGTGGGATATACCTGGTGGTTGGAACTCTCACTCTTTAAAATTCTAAAGTTACGTGGTGATTGTGCAATACTTACAATGCTCTAAGTTGAGGCGCGTGCACGCAAAGATGCGGCGGAAGCCTAATGAGTCTCGCATGATCCAGCCTCAGGGTTCGGAGACGAGTGGAACCGTTCAGGGATGGTACAGACGGAAGACCGCGCGCTTCTGATAAGATTCTGTAACAATATTGCAAATGTGAGCGACAGGTACGACTTAATAAAGCTTTAGCAAAATAATAAATCCATTTAGAAAAAATCGGTTTCACTTGGCACTCGCCGTTTGATCCGAACTAAATAATGCGCCAACCTCGGCTTGACTCATGCGCATTGATACAAATATGGTTTATAAGTTAATTAGAGTTTTTATAACAAGCTAATTAACAGACTTATAAGTGGAATAGTGCTTGTTAAAATATTTATAGAATATAGACATTATGTGTAAGATAGCGAATAAGGTAAGAATATATAGTCGAGTAAAACGGAAATTTAGTTCCAGCCTAGAAATATTCAATGCGATATATCAAAATAGATTGCCATTGGAAACAGTAGAAAGAAATGGAAAGAAATGAAATGTGACATCAAATTCATATCCTCTTCAAGTTTATCGACATTGAGTGGGAAATTATTCATAGCTTCACGACACTGCGTCACTCGCACAGGACGTCTTAGTTTACCTATATACATGGCTAAGGCTGTGTACACACGAACGACTTGTAAAAAATTATGGGCGCATAACATTACATTACAACACCTACAAAAATTTAGTTTCCGCTAATTGGTGCACGGGGCAGTATTTATTAAAACCCATCAACTTGATCAGACTTGATGCACTACCCTATTGAAGCCCTCGATTTCCCCTCGACAAAAACTGCTACACCTTGCGCTGCGTTTAACCATAGTCGCCCGTTCATGTTATATAAACGACTTCAAACATAATTACGATCCAGAAAGCTCATTTACTAAACGTTTGTATGAGAGTATAAAAATATCGCCGCAATTAATAACGCTCGTTGCGAGAGTACCTTCCACTAACGACATTGGGAAGTTGTAGCGGTCGAGAAACACATTACAAAGTGGCGTTTGTGCCGGGGTCAAGTAAGAAAACTGTCTCGTCTAATGTGTACTTACTATCTGTACAACTTATATTGGACTTTGTCTAATACAAAATAGGTACTTAAGTGTAATAAACAGTTTTGAGGGTATTCTAATTTTTCTTCCGTTAAAAATATATCATTCTGTCGGTGGTCAAGCATGGGTTTCTCTTGATGGAAGTGGAAATGGAAATGGCCTAGCCATATAACATCTAAACTACATGCGCTGTCGACCTGAAATCCAAATGAAATGGAAACGCGAGATTCAATTTTACGGCTTTTTATCTGTGCACTGTAGTCTGTAACCCCGACGGGATTAAGATATTCCATTTAATATCCAGACTTTCAAATATGTTTTAGAAAAATTATAAATTTATGAATTACATGTTAGACCCAATGAAAATCGAACCCACAACCCGTTGATTGAGTACCATATATTGCTACCATTAGACTCCTGAGCCCGTCAAATTACTATACGAAATCAATAGTTTTCTTTCTATTTAATAATATTTTAGTTGTTACAAGTAAAATAAATTTTACGTCAAAAGCTACCATTATTCATATGTTTACGTCCTTTCATCGAGCGAATTCACAAACAAATAGATACTAAAATAGTTACCTGTTCTCTCAGTTTCCTTGACACACATTTTATATAGAAAGCGATAAAATTATTACGATAAATCCACGCATCAGATTCAAACATCAACTTTTGATTTCAGGAAGAAATTGGCAAAGTCGTAAAGAAGCTGACCTCTTTTCAAAACTGTCCCGCACACCGTTCGTCTATAAAATAAATCTCAGTAAGGCTTATTATACATGAGAATTAGAAAAAAGCATTTTACACACTCATCGTTCAGTGCAAAATTTTTGAACACGAATTAACAGTTGGACGCGATTGATTTATTGATTTTTTATTAACATTTTATAAATACAATAATTATCTTAAAATAATTTTAAGACTAAGAACAAAGAGTATTGAAGTTACTTTATGAATTAAAGCGGTAACTAGGTTTATGATAAGTTTTATTTTATACCGTTTGGGCTGGACGAACCCTACTGGTCTAGAATACTACTGTTCGTTAGGAAGTTCAGTCCACGGTCGTGTACCAAGATATTTATAGTCCCAGTCTATTTTCTGATTAAAGAAAAAAATTAATTTCTGACTATTTCTCCGGAGAAGAAAAACAAATGTATAAGGAAATCGACATATGCAAAAATTTATGATAACAATTTTTCAACTCGGCCCTCGTGTCCCAATAGTGGGAACTGTTAAATGGCTGAAGATGATTATTATCGCGTTGTTGCACCTAACTAAATTGTAAAAGCACTTTTGTATCTGCTCGCTATAAGAATATCTGTGAAAACTGAACGATGTGTTAGCTGCTTTAAAAAGTTGAGACATAAAGCATGCAGTTTATTTCTGTTCACGCTGCAGTCTGCGCTGGAGACATTGGGTGGAGAGTAAACAGCGTCGCCGACTCACCCCAGAACAAACGTTGCTACTTTGAAATTGGAAAACAAAACTTGTATAACTTGTGTAAACAACTTATTTTGAAACTGTGTTGCACGTTTGAATATTCTATGAAATCGATTCAAAGCTATTTTTATGTTTTAGAGGAAGATATATGCAGGATAACTTACGAGTTAAAACTTTTGAAATATGCTGTGGTGAGCAAAAGGTTAAGCAATGGGGTCGCTACATGTCTTTTGTTTTTAATGTCCATTACTCGTAATGTCGAGGCGGGAAAAGTCTAAAGATTTCCGGCCTAGTTTCAGCAGTGTTTTCCGATACGATTGATTTAGTGCTGTTGCAAAGTACAAAACACTTTCAAAATATAGAATTGTAATCTAATTTCTCGTTTATAACACTGTGTATAATATTTATTTGTATTTAACTATGTTCATAATAAGTCGCCATTTTAATAATTACATCCCAACCCTCAAGTTTGTTTTTTATACTACGTAGATAAAAAACATATATATTTGATATTATGAGTAGATTCTCTACTTGCATTTTCAAATGATGTATATTAAAATAATACACTTACATTTAATTTATGTTAATTACAACCGTGATTAAAAGTTTAAAAAGATAACACAAAGTTAAAACCGTTAAAAGTGATTTAAATGTGTACGAGTATCGTCAACTACTAATAATACTTGACAATTGACATTTGTGCGACACAAAGCTGTCAAACAAAGGTGAATCACACGTACTACATTATCCGTACTCACAATGTTGTTAGTCTTGGTAAATGTTCGACGGCTTGCGGGTGTAGTTGTGAAAGGGGATTTCCCCGGAGCTCCAGCCGACTTAATCGGGAACAAGTCTGTAGTCCAAGTGACACGCGTTCTATCCTGTTGTTCGCTAGTGACCTAGAAAACATTTCGATAATAAATAAACTGAGATTGTTTTGCTGGTACATAGATATGTTTGTGCAGTATGTACAGTATAGAGGTGTTTAGTAGATACTGAAAGGTACGAAAACGGGAACACGAAAGCAAATCCTAGGTACTAAATATATATCTAATACTATGGTAATACATTTTGTATCATTAGTGTTTCCTAAATGGGAATTCATGTTGTCTGGCACTAGTTAAACGAGGTCCTGGGTACGAATCCCGGGAAAACAATAAATTGGTTCGGTCGGACAGGACGCAATAGTCTGATCAACTACTTGCTTGTAAATAAAACCCATTAATATAACGGACACGAAGGTTCCACGTAAATCATAATGCAACATCAATTGGTTTATTATTTTTTAAGAAAACATCTCAAAGCGAAATAGTACTCACAAATCTTCAAGCAGTGGTAAAACGTGGATTGCAGGCGATAGTTCTGTCAGCATATTATCTTCAAGGCGCCTGTAACAATACGATAGGTATAACCTTATTTTTCAGCTATATATGAGGCCGCTAGATTCAGAGTAGCCTAACTGCAATTTTACGACTTGACTTGTTTATTTTTTTATAGTCTAAGAATGTTAATCTAAAAGAGCACAGTGACCGAAAATTCTTACACAAGTAATATTACAAATTCCTTTCGCCTAAGCTTCTTATTGAAATCATGTTTTTTTGCTATTAGGCCACTCTGCCTCCCGCAACTTCATATAATCCCTATTCCGTAATGACAAAGTCAAAATCTGCTGTGCTAGCACCATCTATTTCCTCGTAGTTGGTATTTGGAGAAACTAGCTGGGTCTCCATCCTTCATCTTCAGCCTTCCCGCGACCACGGCTGCTGAAAAGCATCCGAAACGTCGGGCCGTAGAGTATTAAATAATAAATAAAGATACATCGTTATCAAAAAAAAAGAACTGTTTGTTTGTATATTGACGATAATATTTTTTCTCGAAGATCGAACGTAGGACCTCCCCTGTTTAATGCAATGCCTGTAACCCATGACAATGTACATTATGTATCTAAGTTCTAGTACTCCAAACACAAAAGACGTTACAATAGACGATGACTATTAATTTGTCTCTGTCCGCAATCCAGATAACATTCTCATCATTAATATATCAAATCCTTTATATGGGAAATTGTGAAACAGCTATTGTTTCTGCTGTAGTATAGACCGAACTGGTTAAATGGCATATAATTTTTTAGTGTCTGACAAGACACAGAGGCAGATAACTTTTGTTGTAAGAATTATTACTAAGCTATAGCTAAACAAGTATAATCTAAAAGTTCTAGTAAACAAACGCAGTTTTTTTTATCTTTATGCTTTAACCTAATAAATTGTATTTATTTATAGCTTCTTTCAAAGCCTGCAGGAATTCTGCTGTCTGCAGTACGCAGTTAAAATACTTGTTTAATCTAAATGAAGTAAAATAGGAGAGCATTATTTAAAAATGCAATTTAGCAAAGATGAATTACGTTTATTGGTTCTATTCTTCATAAATCATTGTATATTTGCAGGGTGCGTTCAAGTAAAGTGAAGAATTGCACCCAAAAGATATTAATGAGGGTTTGAGAAGCGCCTGTTTGAGGAAAGAACAAAGACAAGGGGCCATAAAAACATCCTTCCCTTTTAATTTGCGATGGGATTCCGAATTAGGATTTATATTCTTATTTGTCATTTCAAGTACTGTATACGATTAGAGGGTAATGAAATACTAGGTAAAAAATAGTAAATCAATAAGAAGCTTAATATTTTTTTAGATCAAAGAAAATAGACGATACAGACAGTATCTACAGCTTGCGCTGCTAAAGGAGTATAAGTTTCGTGTAAATAGATTTTTAATTGTTATCATGGCATCATACTCGTTACATTACGCATCCAATGAACTCCTTTAAATTTGATCGTAACTAAATAACTAACTTAACAAAATAACGTTTAATAGTAATTATTACGTTATTCAATAATTATTTGTATTTTATTTCAACTATCTAAATCTTAATTTAATTCAGTTCGGAACTCGCTAGTTTCATAGCCCCAAATGAAATAGTGCAACGGTCGTTAGTCGCAGGCGGAATTTCCTGGATGGGAAACTATTGCCACATTATGAGCTGCTAATGTTGCCGATGAATGCTTTATAGCACACACTTGGCTTTTATTGCTGCAGGAATTGGGATTTGGGGTCCTCCACTAGTACGCACGCAGGTTGAAATTATTACGATTGATCAAGGTACTTTTAGTAATAATCGTACGATAAATGGTATTTTGAAGCATATTCTGAAAACTAAACTTGTAGATGTGTCATTTTCTAGTTAATTATGCTAGCTATGAACTAGTTAATGTTAGTAGTTTAAAGTTTACTAATGAGTAGAGTAAAATTACAATATTTTTATTTAATATACGTACCACAAACTAGTTTAGTTTAGTTGGGCTATTATTGTTGTGGCAATATTGAAATAAGAATTACTGTATAGTTTATAGTGAATTTGGTTATAACACAGCCACTAGATGGCGCTGTTTGGTTAAAAAAATTACGACATTGGTAGGACTTGGACCAGCATTCACAGCGTTCCGTGCTGCTGCTCTTACCACACGGTAGCTCAATCGGTAAGAGAAGCAGCACGAAACAAAATAGTCTCGCGTATATCGGTCAATTTTTTTCAATCAAAATAAAATGTTAGTTTAACAGGAAATTACAATGAAGAAGAATGAATGAGTTTAACTGTACACGTATCCAACCTTTTTAGTGAGAGTATGTGTCAGAATTGGAAAAGGAAAGTGACTAACTAAATGCTGATTTTTCATTTCATTGGCTCACATCTTGTTACACTCTGTATTTAGACCAATATAGCTGATCTGATTTTAAAACTTTGATGATGTATAAGATTCAAGGCGCGTTTTAGCGATTTTTCACCTGGGATTTGTTATTCGTTAGATTACAAGAATCTGAAATCAATACAGATTAAACAGATCAGCCCGCAAACGTATGTTCTAATAAACAAACTCCCACGCATGGGACCAGCCAAGGGCGTGATAAGATTACCTGGAAACGGTTAATGGATCAAGGTTACACGTAACGTTGGCACTGTTATGGCTTCATGATAAATCTTCAGGTAGGCGGCAAAAGTAATAAGCTACGAGTCTATTTGCAGATATAAGGGTGAGTACATACGAATGGCAAACTACAAATAATGAAATCTAGCGAGCACTACTGCTGAAAATTAATTAAATATATACCTATAGACCCATATACGTTCTGTTATTTTACGAAATATTGCTAAAATAAAATAATTAATTGAACCAAACCATGGCTCTGCTATACAACAAGAACAAAACGAAGGATTTGTAGTGAAGTCATTTTTATTCTAATAAAATAGTTAATTGTAGATTGCAACTTTTAAATGTCCAATACATTATAAAACCTTTTGATCTTTACTACAAAATAGCAAATACCTGAAAATAATCTAGCAAAACAAGAATGTGTCGAAAATTTTATATTTTTTTATCTTATCGGATAAAACTCGACGAGTTTATCATTCAAGTTAAAATCGCTGAAGTCAAAGTTGTGAAATAATTAAAAACAGCTTGTTGATCGTAAATCACGCGATAGTGAGGAGCTCTTATCTAACCGCAGACACACAGACCGGCAGCTTAACGTCGTGGGGAAAAATAAACTTGATTAATGGTAACTTTTCCTTTTTCAAATTTGTTGATAACGACACCCTATTGCGGCATAGAAATTTCACTAATTAAAAAGCTTGTATGAATGTTTCTTAGAAATTCTTTCAATTAACTTAATTCTTATATTAATAGAAATATCACTTTAACGGCGTCGTGGGACTTTTGCTTTGTTTATATTGTGTTTTATTTTTCAATAACTTCGTTCCTCTTAGCCTAACCTCATTTACTCTAGAAAATTATTATCGAGGTACTTACAAGACACGTAGCGCTGGTGTGTTGACGAATGCGTTGTGGTCAATGTGCGTGATTCGGTTGCGTTTCAGGATCCTATAAAACAAAAGAAGGTTATTTCAGCAATTTTAGAAAGAAAGAAAACTAAAAGAAATTACACTACTACAATTTTAGGGAGTCCGATTGTGGTGGAAATGTTTTCGTTCAAATTGTGAAATAAACACATTTTTATATTAATACTGCAATAGTTCAATTGATACACTACCTACAAATTGTTAGTAGTTTTTTCACTATTTCCTTCTATTCGAAATTTGAGACAAATTGTAATAAAATGTAATGGTTATATAATTTTTGAATAATATAGAACAAAACGAGCTCAAACACAAATAAAACCGTTTTCGCGAAAGTAAGCACAATATCAGTGTATTGCTAAGTTGCTGTAAATTCCCTTTTATGTAAAGATCGGGTCTCTATTTGTAACCATGCAATTCTATTTTGCAGGATATTTTTGTTTTATAGTTCCTCCTTTTTTTAACCTAAAATGGAAACATATACTAAGTACGATATTACGAGATTACGCCATATAAATATTTCTTTTTATATAAAATATGCTTCTAATTAAACAATAATATAATAATTTCCTACTTTCGCTTACAAGTTTTTATTTTACTAACCCTCAAGCAGATTTTATAAAAAAACCGGAGGGTCTGGACACTGTGATAGGTGGATAACCTATGTAATAATAATAATGTTCTTCATATGTGGACTAAATGATGATGAACCCCTGATGATGAAGCCAGTTATTTGGTCACCTCAATATCAAATAGTCCAGAAGATCCTGTCTGTATCAATAAGCAGTATTTCAGTTCGGATGGCTATCACCGCGTGCAATGTTTCTGTTATGGTAATGTCTTACTATAAAGGGGTCGCTATGGAATGTCATATAACACTGTGACTACATGATATTACCTACATACAATAGACCATAGATAATATTAAGGGAAAAAAAATTGAATCTTTGTAACGTTGTATAATGTTCTACCGTCACATACATCTATTATTAATTGTATTGTATTTTTGTGTGTGGAAGAAATGATTTGATTTGATTTGTACTGTATTTGAAAATATGTTTCAAATATTTCCTTATGGTTTTTTCTGTGTCCATATATATTTGGAATGAAACACGTCAAATCATCAGTGGAAGAAAGTTATCACATGTAAATATTCTCAAATAAAAGACTTTTAACGGTTTAAAACGCCAATATATATTACCTTTATTCAACTACCGGCCGTCTTTTACCTTACATTTCTATAAGTAGGAGTTACTTTCACACACCTAATTATTTTACCAACTACATTTATAAGATGAGAACTGAGAGAGAAATATCGCAACTTACATGTTATAAAAAGGCAACAAAAGGTCCGCTTAGTAAACAGGGAACGCAAAGCCTGCGGATTATGGACAAATTGTGGTTTATTACATAATTTATCAAGGGAAATGAGCTGCTCGCAGCTTGATCTACTAAATCAGAATAAAAACTAATTTCTTTTATGTGCATAGTTAAAAATTATGATGTTTAGTAATCCGAAAACTTTATTACATCCATTTGAACTATGTCTTTAATATAGCATCTCTGTTGAACAAACAATTATAGTCGATGGGCTCCTTGGTCTAATCGTAGCAACGTGAAATCGTGGCTAATAATCCATGGGCATTGGGTTCGATCTCCACCGGGTCGAATATGCTTGTAACGTATTCATTTACTAATATTTTTTCTGACACACGTTGGGCTTCGTCTGGAAATCCGGATAGCAAATGGATGGCGTTGGCGTTAAATCGGCTTTCGATTTCAGTCTGTAAATATCCGAATATCCAAAGGTTGACAGTGCCTCTTGTTGACAAGTTATATGACTGGGGTATTTTACCTTTCATCAAGTAAATCCCATGCATGTCTGTTCTCCTCGATCAAAAAAATCAACATATACATTTTAATAAACGGTCAAGTACGCGCTGGACTCGCTCCCGAGGGATTCCGTACTATTGACTAAGATGTTGTAAGCCCACAAATTATATCATTTTAACGTGTGAATATATACACTGTTGAGCTACCATGGTTCTTGAGAACGCCTGGTGACACACCTAAGACTAGGGATGTCTTTTTTATTATATATTGAATTGAATAACCATAGTCTACATGGCCCTAAAATAAAATGTCCATGACATATGAACCGATAGAGATTCATTGTCATTCGGAAACTACGTCACAGAGTCCAGAATGAAAGTCTAGTCCAATAAAAAGGGAATAAAACATGAGGACGATTGACGATTGTAATGCTTTCCGTGTTTACGACTTTGACCGTCCAATATCGAGCCACACAAACCTTCATTCACTTAACCCCTATCGGCGTCGCTTTTATGTTACAATATTAAGTGATACTCTCGAGTTTCTCTTAATACCAACTATAAAGAAACAGATGGCGCTAGCGTTCCAGATTTTTGACTATGACATCGGGGACACTCCATCTTCAGTTCCCCGTTACCACAGCTGCTGTAAAGCATTTGAACCGTCGGGCCGTTGTTAAAATAAATTGTGAATAAGTTAAATAATACATTTTGCGTTTTAATCCCTATCGCGCGACAGTGTTTTATTTCAATTATATCAGACTATAGACCAGTCTCCCCGTGAACACGGCTGCTGCAAAGCATCCGAAACGTCGGGCCGAAGTTAAAAAATTAAAAATAGTATATATATAGTAAGTATTAGTAGCTAACGCTTGACATAAAAAATATTACATTAATTTTACTGGTTTAAACGCGAACTTAATTAGTTAAACTTGTTTTTTATATTTTGACTGCATTCCCTAAAGGGACGGGTTGGAGTTAAAATAAATGAAACATAACTAATATATTTCGCGTTTTAAACCGTTACGACTTTTCTATTTAAAGTGCTAACAAAAGACGGATAATACTTGAAACCTATTTTTAATACCTACGAGTTTTATAGTTAAAATAATTAGAGTTAATAACGCGCTTATGCTTTTTGCGCTTTCGAGTTATTACCGGGTTATAGTTTTATAAACTTTACTACTTGTCACAATTCCACGGATTGTTAAAATAGATTTTATTATCTCGAGTCAGCGCGTCTCGCAAATTTAATTTGGGAGAGACATTTTAAAAGTAGACGTCGTATAAACGATATAAACATCTTACTCCCCGCATAGACTTTAAAATTTTACGAATCTCCGAACAAACAGACCGAATCGTCGTTGAAGTATATGAAGAACAGTAATAAAAATTTAATGGTCGCTTTTATGGCGCGACAATTTTATTGGCTTCGATTATTTTATGTCGCTAATATTACATGACGGCGTTAGCGCTTTTCGCTTTACGACTGCTTTGAGGCCGGTGGCCATATGGGACCCAGTTCTGCTGATTCACGAGGCATAGGCGGTCTTGTTGGCCTAATGGTAGATGGTGGTCGTAGATCGATCCAGGTCTAACATATTTATAAACTACTTTTTTATTTTTCTGAAACATGTTAATAAACCGTGGAACTGGACAATAAATGGTTGGTAGGAATATCTTAATTCCGTCCATGCACACCATAATGGCTATGTACTGTAGTCTGCCTTGATTCTTATAGTATGTCACTTTTTTGTGAGAGAGGTGTATATGATAATTGTCACGTATTAATGTATTTTCTTAAATAATTGTACAATTTATGTATGTATATTCTTTGTATGTTATTTGGTGTGTATAAAATTCATCGACTTATAAAAATAAAGCATCGATAAGAAGAGTCATCGATATCAGAGCCATAAGAATTCACAGACTGAAATCCAAACACTATTAAATTTCACGGGTTTTCTGTAGACGGTGAGTCGTGACGTGATTTTGACCTAACCTACCACCTATTTTACATCCAGCTCTAAACGCAGTCTAACATAAATAACATAAAAAATATCGGCATACTTACTGTATACTCGCAGTATATTTATGAAAATTTATTGTATCCTCATAAAAATAAAATCAAGTTCAGCAAGGACAGTGATAGGCATGATTTGAACTTACGAAATAAGGATAAACTAGCTATCCCCAAATATAGGCTCCATAAAATATCTAATTCCTTGGAGGTTTCAAATTTTACGATAAATAAATTTTTAAAAAGTTATAAAACTTAGATTGTCTCAAAAGGCGTATTATTGTCTGAACGATTTCTTTAATGACAAGACCGGCTGCCAGTAATTAATTGCTCCTTAGGTCATTAAATTCACTAAAATGTATTAGTTTATAAGACACGTAAAAAAAAAGCTGGACTGAGTTTCTTGGGTATTCTTCTCAGTTATGTTCCTCTTTTGAACACTCTGTAGAATCACAACGAACAGAGAGACAAACAAAAATGTTTTGACGAATCTAAATAATTTTAAAGAGAAGAAAATGTATTTAATTTATTTTTAATTTTTTGTGTTATAAAAATCATATTCACTAGAAATATGTTAAACTCGGTGACACGTTGATATGCAATAAATTGCAACTAAAAGACGAGTTCTATAAATGTTTATACTTCATTCAATGACTGTAAAAGAACTTAAAACAAGTAACTAAAATATGTCATATATACGTGAAACTACGCGAACAGTAAAATCTCATAAATTATATAAAATACGCGTAACCCTTTTAATCTTCCCTCAGTTCTGTGACACTGATTTATATAAAGATATTTCCTTCAAGATTATTCAGCGAACATTTGACAATTGTTTTCATGAAACCCTGTCCTTTATGAGGTGTATAATCTCCGGGCGCCATTGTTGTAGACAAATTGGTCACGTTTTATCCAGCCTATATTTTATTGCCATATTTTGTGAAAGCTGTTTGTTTTGTTTTGCTACTGCTGTGCGCTTACGTAAAATTCTTTCCCGCCTCTTTTACGACTGATAACCATAGACAAACCCAATGGTTTATATGAGAGGTGGTGGACATGATCTGCTTTCGACCTATGTTGTCTATGTAGATATTTAGAAATTCACAGACATTTTCCATTCTGACCGGTGGTGAGTTATTTGGTGGTAACCATTCCACATTCCACATGTTTGTA